CCCGACCCAACCCGCATTCAGCCCGAAAAAAACGGGTCGGGTCGGGTTGGCTCGAAAAAAAAATGAGCCAGAAAACCCAACCCGGCTCGACCCGAGCCGGGTTCGGGTTGGCTCGCGGGTTGGCTCGATAATCAGCTCACGGGTTGGCTCGTAAAAAAGCTCACGGGTTGGCTCAAAAAAAGCTCACGAGTTAGCTCGAAATGATGCCAGTGGGTTGGCTCGCGGGTTGGTTAGCTCGAAATATTGGCTCGCGGGTTGGCTCAAAAATTTAATTTTTGTGGTTTGTTCTCCTGTATAAAATTATCAACACTGCCAAAACTATTGATTGCCTAATGGATAATGGTTTAAAGACAGTAACTAATAAAAGATAACCAATAAATTAAGAAATCCCAACATAGCAGTAGACAAACACATTACAAAATAAAAATTGTCCTATGAGTTCCCATGGCCAAAATACAGTACAATATCAAAATATAAACATCCAAAAGTACACCATTATCATTAGATCATGTATAAAGAGTTTCACGACCATTAGATCCCCGTGAAGAAGCTAATATATGGGAAATACCATCTTCATCATCATCATCATCTACAAAACACAAACCATAAAATGTAAATAATCAATTAAGGTTACAATGACAAATGAAAAATGAAATTTTAATTGCATTGAAAATAAATAAATTACCATTGGCAACAAAACCAGCCAACCAATTGCGGGTACATACCAAAGCTTCAACATTCTTTGACAACAACTTATTTCTATATTTGTTAAGCACACGTGATCCAATGCTAAAAGCAGATTCAGATGCCACAATGGTAATAGGAATGCTTAACAAGTCACGAGCCATTAATGATAGACTCGGAAAACGACAACTATTATCCTTCCACCATTGCAATGCATCTAAACTATTCCAGTTGTCAATAACCATTACAGGCGGCTCCTCTAAATAAACATCAAGTTCAGATTTTCCAGCATTTATTGCTTGGTGTTGAGTGTGCAAGGTCAATTCCTATCATATTTGAGCGACGGTGAGAACTGAGTGAGACCTAAGTGAGACTGTGAGTGAGAGTGTTTTATTGTATTTTATTAAAAAAAAAAAAAAAGTAACCCGCGAGCTGGCTCGTTTGAGCCCGGGTTGGCTCGGGTCGGGCTAAATCGAGCTGACAGCTCATTTTTGCCAACCCAACCCGGCTCGTTTTGTGCGGGTTACGAGCCAACCCGACGGGTTGGCTCATTTTTGCCACCCCTACTTGTAATTATTGTTGTATTGTATGACTTGTATCTAAAGTTGGCTTCGTATGTATGTGGGCTTGTCGAGTATTTGTTGGATCATGAACGAGTTCTTAAATAAAAAATAAACGGAGCAAAATCCTAAACTACAAAGAAACAAAACAATCACTTACTTGAGAGTAGAGGTATTAACGGGCCGAGCCGAGTCAAGCTTTGATCTTAAAAGGTTAAGCCTGCGTTTAAATGTGCCAGTCTGACCAAACGTGTTACCTATTATAAATATAATTATCGGCCTGTGACCTGACTTATTTACAAAAAATAAAAGCCTGATTTAACCTGTTAGCCTGTTTTAAAAAAATAAGACAACAAAAATTTATCCAAATAAATATACAATCAACAACATTAGTAATTTCATAAATATTCCTAAATTTAATGTATATCCAAACAGTATAATATAAAACAAAATCATTTAAAAAGTCTGTTTAACCAATAAAATAAGGTGAAATAGATTGAGGAGAAAGAGATGACTATTACAAGTGGTATAAAAAATATAAATATAAATAAAAAATAATTTATTAGGTCAGCCTAAGAGGCTCTAAGGCCGAGCTTTTGAATTGGAGCCTGAGACTTTTTTATTAAACGAGCTTTTAAACAAACTCAAGCCTGGTGCCAACAACCAATTTTAGACATGTAAACTCAGGTCTTCACGAACCGAGCTAAAAGTCCCTGATTCGTTTAGCACCTCTACTTGAAAGCTATCAACTAGAGAAATATATATATATATATATATATATATATATATATATATATATATATATATATATATATATATATATGGATAGGATCCTTTGACACCAGTGTCAAATCTAAAGTTTGACACCTCATCTGAGAGTCATTAGATAAAAAAATATCAATGGTGCCACATGCTTACAAATTAGAGTCGTTGATCTTTTTTGATCTAACGGCTCTCAGACGAGGTGTCAAACTTCAAATTTGACACTAGTGTCAAAGGATCTTGCCTCATATATATATATATATATATATAAATGAAATATTGAATAAATATAATAATATAAAGGGGTCCTACCATCATTTTCTTATTTAATTTTGAAGAATTTTCAATGCCTACTTGGTTTCACGTGGAATTGATGGATTTTCAATAATAATATAAATTTTTTTTCCTCATCTGTTTTCCAAAAAAAAAAAAACAATATAAAGTCTAATGGGGCGGCTGGCGGCTTTGGTTTGTTTTATGCTAAAATTCAACAAACTTTTTTCAATGTGAGTTATGTGTACAAAAACTTTCTTTACTAAACTACTGGGATTAGTCGAGTGATGAAAAATGTGGATAATTTTACTAGATGGGGTATATTTTAATCCATCCTTATGTATTAAAAAAAAAATTCTTTGCTTTAAAATTAATCAATACACTTTTTCGAATTAACCAAAATGTTCTCGTGCCTCGTGTAAAAAAATTCTTACAAAAAATCAATACGTGTAACTATATGAATTAGTTCTATTAAATTTTAGTGGGCTTTAAAATTAATTTTATTTTATTATTCACATAACCCGTATCAAAGAAGATTTCTTAAATTTTAGCACTCTTTCATTTTAGTGTTTTTTTTTTTCTTTCCTTTTGAAACAGAAGTACTTCCAAGTCATAAATTTCGACAGTGACATTCGTGAATTGGTGGAACTTGGAAGGAGGAGAGGAACCATTGATGTCCCTCCAAATTGATGGGAGAATTTGCTCGTGTTTGCTTTATTCAAATATCAGATTAAATGCATTTGTCTACCCCAATAAATTAGTAATGTTGACACAATGAATATTATAAAATGTTAAAATCATGTATCAATGCAATGACAAAACGTTTCGGTGGACCTGCCGGTCACCCATTAAAGAAAAGATACAATCAATGAACGAAGAAAATTATATTTTCTTGCATATGAAGGACCCAAAAAGCAAAAACTGCAAAACGACAAGTGCCTTAGCCAATCATTTTTCTATTTAAAAATGACTTAGTGCAACTCCAATAATAGCTCACTTGGTAATTGAATTCTCAAGAGTTTGCTTGTACGGATCTTAAAACACAAACAAAAAACAAGAGATTTTGTTTACCCAAAAAACTTTCACTATTTCTGGTACCAAACGTGACATGTTATGTTTCCGAACGATGCTTTCCCATAGAACTAAATATAATCCAAGTACCAACATTCAAGTTTCTAATATTAAATGAAGATACCTGAAGATTATAAAAAAAAAAAGTAATTGGTACTCAGCAAATTTTATGATGCTCGTTTTAGTCCCTAGCAAATGAAAAGGTCTATCGTGGTCCTTAAGAAATTCAAAATGAACCTAATTAGTTGAAATTGTGATCCCTCACAAATTCTTTTTCATATTAGTCCCTAAAATAACTAAAATGGATCCATTTTAAATTTCTTAGGGACACAATAAAACTTTTTATTTGTTAGAGACTAAAACAGATATCATAAAATTTGCTTGAGGAAAAAAAGAATATTTACTCCCAAAAAAAACTTACTACGGAACATTCACCCTTCCTAATATTAAATCCTAACATTGAACTTTCAAGTTTCAACTTCTGAATTAAATTAAAAAATGGGTTAGCAAAAAGTAAAACTGAAAAAGTAAAATAAAATAAAGCAAATGAGAGACGCCAACCTAGTTTCAGTATTTAGCTCGTTAATCGAAAACAACGAATGTTTGTTGCTCCGCTGTCGATGTCTTTGACGCGCGTGACTCACAGGCGTTTGTGTCCACCAACCTGAGGATATTTGTATTTGTCTTCTTTTAAACGTGTATTATTAACCTTCTCAACTTTTACTTGAGATTTTTTTTTCCCCGAATTTCATAATATATATAATTTTTTTTTTGTGGACAGAGGATTTCCTTATGACCCTGCTCATCGGTTTACAGTACTTTGTTTTTTTTTTAAAAAAAAAAAAATTAATACCATTTTTTAAAATAATATTAACTACTTGTTTAATTACTTTGTTAGTTTTTTATAATTTTAATTAGTCCCCATGATTTATATATTTAATTGAATTATAAAATATTCACTTCGTTTTTTCTAAATTTATTTATTTTGATTGACTTTCACTTAGAAATTTAATTTTAATCTATTATCAATTATAAAATTTTACATAATTTCACATTTCTTATTCTTAAATAAGTACCTATATGATTGGAATCCAGACCAAATGAATGAACCTTACAGAGTCATAACTTACCATTCACTAGTGATCGAGTGAATGTAAAAAGAATTAATTAAAATAGACCAATATATGCTTACGGAATATGAGTAGGAACCAATCCATTTGCAACTAATACCTGGAAACTAAAAGAAAGAGAAAAATTATGTCTTAATCAACAACAACAAAGTCAATAATTGAAGGCTTGAATGGTCCTTCGAGCACCCAAAAGATAGCGAGTGAATCCTTTACGCAAAGTGGTTATATCATACTAGATTTTTTTTATGAAATCGCATAGCAGTTAAGGCAAATAAACTCCACTGATAATAAGCACCCAAAATAATAATAATAATAAATAATAAAAAGTATGTATCATTTTAAACCACAAAAAAAAATATGTATTCCACTAAAAAAATAAATAAAAAATTTATATTTATTTAAAATTATACACATTTTTTCCTAATAATAATAATAAAAAAAGACAAGAAGAAAGGTAAGAAAAAAGAAGGAAAAAGCTAGAAGAAGCAACTGAACTTACAATTAAAAGGGAACCTCAAAAAACTCGAAGCAAACAAAAGTTAAAGCAGAGCATCATCTCTGCAAAAACAGTGAATTAGAGAAGAGGAGAGAAGAGAGGAGAAGGAAGAGAAAGTTGAAGACTTTTTCCATTGCAATTTACTAAAGCATTCTCCTTTCTCTCTCTCTCTTCTTCTTGAATTCCTTTCAAGGCAAGGCAAGGCAAGGAAACCATTCTCTCTCTTCTTGTTGGAGTATAAAACAAGAGGGACTGTGTGTGAAGGATACTAGGGATGTTTGGGTGTGAGTGTTTTTGTTGGGACTGTGTCCCAGAATTCTATGATCCTGAGCCACTTCCCTTCTCTCTGCCTTCACCTCTTCCACAATGGCCACAAGGTATGTCTTCAAGTATTGAAATTTGAAACCATGCAAGAGTGCTTTTGGATTCTTTTCTGGGTTTTAATTCATGGGGTTTTCCCTTCTTCTTCTTCTTTTTTCTTTAAAAAATAGAGTTGCTATTGAGGATTGGATTGTATGCAAATATATCACAGGTTTTATGCACTGTTCTTGTTTCCTGCTGCCTTCAACTATCACATAGGCACGTGTGTGGAATTTTATTGATCAAATCAAACGCGAAAACTAACTACTTTTGTATCACTAGATTTATCATCTTTGAAAATTGTTGTTGTTTTATTAATTTTACTGAGATATTCATGAACCACAGTTTCAGGAAGTACAGTGCAAATATTATTATTTTTCTTTTTATTTTTGGGTGATCTAAAGGTGCAAAATTTGAGTAAACTACATATATAATTGGATCAGAATTGAGATTTGTTACTATTCATGTGTGCTTTTCTCTTATCATTAATCTTGTGGTGTGTTATGAAAACAATTATCTCTTTGCAAATTAATGTCAGTGAATTTATACACTATCTGGTTATAAACTTTAATTGCATCGTCTTTAGTTAATTTCCAAGGCTGTTGAGAAAAGCTATTGTTACACTCTGGCCACAGAACAAAAAAAAGCTCTTGTTTTGCTTCGTTTTCATTGATTTGATTGCACATATTCTATAAAAGAATGCAGAGAAGATGTTTTTTATTTCCTTTTTTTTGGGTGTGAAGTTGTGGAATTAGCATTGATAAACGCTCTTCCATGAAAAATCATACAGTTATCATTAGGATTTCTTAAATGGACTGAAGTGCTCCTTTGGCTTTGTGGTGATTATTGCTTTAATTAGTTCCATGGTTCTCTCATTTACCATCTTGCGTATTGTTTTGCTTCAACAGATAGTTAAAAGAACTAGTTTTTTAAGGGGGGGAACACTATATGACATTACCTTTTTTTAAAAACTCCAATCGGAATTTCTTATCTTGACTTCACTCAAGTGTCTTGTCAATTATTAAGCTACTTGTGTGCATCAAGATGTTTTTGATGGATGTTTGCTTGCCTCTGGGAGTTTGAGAAATATTAATTCATTACTGCAGAACTTTGTGTAGAACTCATAGTCATCCAAATTCTTTATCACAGAATGCTAAGCTTAGTTTGTACTTTTGCTTGATATGCATGCATCAAGTAAGCATTTTATTGCATATTTGGCTAGGGTAATGTGTTAGAGAGGTCTTACTACAGACATCAAAATTGAATTCGCGCTATCAATAATCATTTGATTCTGTTTTGTTTTATTTGATCTTCTGTTGTTATGCTGTCAAATATTTGTGGTTTAATCATATGATTTAACCAAGCCCGTAAGTGATCTGGTCAGGTGGCGGTTTTGCTGGTGGAAGAATATGCCTTGGAAAATTAGAAGTTTTAAAAGTAACAAAGTTTGAGAGAGTTTGGAGATGCACACGTTTGCATGGAAATCCACAGGGTTTCACATTTTATAGACCTTTGGAGATTCCAGATGGCTTTTTCTGCCTTGGTCACTACTGCCAGTCCAATGACCAGCCATTGAGAGGATATGTTCTTGTGGCTCGTGAAATTACTTCGGAACCTGAAGCTGATTGTTCCCTTGGCTCCGTGTTAGAATCTCCAGCTCTAAAAAAGCCTCTTAACTACTCTTTAATATGGAGCATGGATTCACATGATGATTGTGTTTACTTTTGGTTGCCAAACCCTCCAATGGGTTATAAAGCCATGGGCATAGTAGTTACTAGCAATCCAAATGAACCTGAAGTTGATGAAGTTAGATGCGTGCGAGAAGATCTAACAGAAACTTGTGAGACTTCTGATCTATTACTAGCGATAAAGTCAAATTTTTCAAAAAAATCATTTCAGGTTTGGAAGACACTGCCCTGTGATAGAGGTATGTTGTGTAGAGGTGTATCTGTTGGGACATTCTTCTGTGGCACCAATTTTGATTCTGAACAAGCGGTTGATATTGCGTGCTTGAAGAATCTTGATTCTTCCTTGCATGCAATGCCAAATCTGAACCAGATTCATGCACTTATTGAGCATTATGGGCCCACTGTGTACTTTCATCCTGATGAGATATACTTGCCATCCTCAGTGCAATGGTTTTTTAAGAATGGAGCAGCTTTGCATGCAGAAGGCAGTGAAAAGGGTCAAGCTATAGACTATCAGGGCTCAAATTTACCTAGTGGAGGAACAAATGATGGTGCCTTTTGGATTGATTTGCCTACCAATAATGATGCTAGAAATAATCTAAAGAAGGGAAACATAGAGAGTGCAGAACTCTATGTTCATGTAAAACCAGCATTGGGAGGAGCCTTTACTGATATTGCAATGTGGGTTTTTTGCCCCTTCAATGGACCTGCCACCCTTAAAGTGCCATTGATGAACATTGAGATGAATAAGATAGGGGAACATGTGGGAGACTGGGAGCACATCACCCTTCGTGTAAGCAACTTCACTGGAGAGCTATGGTCTGTTTTCTTTTCTCAGCATAGTGGAGGTGAATGGGTAAATGCATTCAATCTGGAGTTTATTAAGGGGAATAAACCAATTGTTTATTCATCAAGACATGGCCATGCTAGCTACCCTCATCCTGGGACTTACCTTCAGGGATCATCCAAACTTGGAATAGGAGTACGCAATGATGCAGCTCGAAGCAAATTTATTGTGGATTCAAGCATCAAATATAAGATTGTTGCGGTCGAGTATCTTGGTGATGGAGCCATTACAGAACCATGTTGGTTGCAGTATATGAGAGAGTGGGGTCCTACCATTGTATATGATTCACGTTCGGAAATAGAAAAGCTAATAGATCTCCTTCCACTGTTCGTTAGATTTTCTGTGGAGAACTTAATTGAATTATTTCCAACAGAGCTTTATGGTGAGGAGGGGCCAACTGGGCCAAAGGAGAAGGACAATTGGGTAGGAGATGAATATTGCTAGTCCTGTTTATTGTTACCATCTCTTGCTATGTTACTCTTTCTACTAGCCATGTCTTGTGAGCTCTTGTTTTTCCACTCATTTTGATGGGAAAGGAATCCAAACTTATAAGATAGTATCTTTCTATCTTGGTAATGGTATGTTTTGTGTGTATCACTATGGAAGTGGTGAAGAGGACCAAGACATCATCATCAATCATGTGTCGATTGTAAAGGAGGTGTACCTCAGATAGTAGCAACTCATGCCATTCTTAGTGGCGTGAAAAAACAAAAGCGCTCTGATGTTAAGAGTTGCTTAAAAGAATATGTATAACTACATACAAAATATGAATATGTATAAGCCAGTGTTATTGGTATTATAGACATTTCTGGTCTCTTTGTTAGATAATCTTGTTGCCAGTGCTTGGTGGGAGACATGAAAATTTTGTTAGTGTTCCAAGTATTGCTGGTCATGGAGCAGGATTGTCTTTGATTCAGTGTGGTTATATCACTTAATTCACTTGTATTCGTTTGCTTGGAAATTTTGGTTTATCTATTCAGCCTTGGAAAGTTTAGCAGTGAACCTATGCTGTAGGGAAAGGGATTCCTTAAGGCCATAACTTAAAAATAAATAAGACCAGACAATCTGCTCAATGTGTTTCTAACCGTCTAACGATGGCTTTTTTACCGTGACTTTTTAACTACTGTAGTCCTTATTTAATAATTAATTATTAAATTGACTTTAATTATAAACTATTGTAAAAATTTAACTTTTTAAACAAATTAAACACCAATCTGTCCCTGTTTGACCGTTGACTATTCAGCTTACTCGAGTATCTCCATCCCTATCCAAGTATATTTCACGAAATTCGCCTGTTCATACACATGTTGAATATTTACCCGGGTAAGAAAGGAGATATCTGGGTAATTCTTCAAACATCAAAATTCAAAAGCATCATTACTCATCACATTCTTCACTGTTCATCGTCCCTTTCTCGCATGTTACATCTTCCAAACTGGCAAATCTTCTCCTATGAACGTTGAAGAAATGCATCAAGTATAAATTGTCTAATTTCTTCATGATTTCAGGAACCTTCATTATGTGTTCTGTTGAAGTTGACAAGGAATTCTGTATTACCCTCAGCACCTTTGAGAGGAGACTCAATCCAACCTTTACTGTAGAAACCTAAATTCTCCACACCCTTGATAATCTTCTCAAGAACCTGAATTGCAGAAATTAATCACTTTCCCATTTTCTTCTATTATTTACAAGTCAACATGCAGTGTTTAATTAGTTTTTGAATTTTTGAATAGTTTCTACTCTACACAATATTATAAATGAAATAAGTGGTTGTGCAAGCAGCAATGAAGTGAAAGGTACATAGTCCTTAATACTTAAATTGAGACGGATAAACTACTCACTACTCAGATGTTTGTGCTCGTGTTCTTCTATATTTCCCTTTTTCCTTTTCTCCTAGCCTTTTTCTTGAATCACGCATTAAATTTTGTTTAGAGAATTAAGAATGATGTGCACATGAATGAAATTTCAACATCGCGCAGTTATTTGTTGGCATCCAATCCATTTACCCAGGTATCTCCTTTACTACCCGATAAATAATTCAAGAAATTTTTTAGAATTTGAACAATATTCGGGTATTTCATTCACTATCTTGGTAGAATAAATTTTTTAAATTATACCCCGGTATCCCCTTGTCTACCTGGGTATTTTACGATGAGTGATATGTTTTGGTTGAAGAACGAATCAGTAATTAATTATTAATTTAGGGCTATAATGGTCAAAAAGCCGTTTAACCATGTCACAAAATAATTAAATTTATTATTAAAATAAATTATTTTTACTGTAGGGTGTTCTAACATTTTATTGTATTTTGGCTGGCTTTTGCCCAATACTGTGTTTCTTGCGCTGTCGGGCAATTATTATTTTTTCTTTTTTTCAAATTGCGACAATAGGAAATGTGAGGAAAGTGAGAAATGACTTGTTGGGTGGAGAAATAAATATGATGTAAAGAATCTATTTAATTCAAAAGTTTAACTTATTAGATAAGTAAGAGCTTAAGTTATTAGGTAAGATTATATTAATAATTTTTATATTATATTTTTTTAACATATTTTTTTATATAAGAGTTTATTGAATTTTAAGGGTGGGTAATATATTATGCCCCATCTATTTATGTTAAAAAATTTATAATATTTAATCATTATTATTTTATTTTACTTTGGTAAACTAATCATTATTATTTTTATTATAATGAGGGTGGTGCAGATCGAATTCTTGACCACTCGAATATGGAGAATTTGATATAATATAAAGAATCAATTTAACCCAGAAGTTTAAGTTATTTGCTAACAATAAATTAATGGTTTTTATATTATATATATTTCCCTAACGTACTTTGAGCAAAAGTTTTTCTAATTGTGAAAGTAAAACAAGTAAATTTTGATAATTAGATAGTGATAAACTGTAAAAATTAAAATATAAAATCATGTAATTATTTTAAGTGGCAATGAATAATTTTCCTTTCGACCATTTATGTAAAATTTAATAATTAATTTATCCTACTTCTCATAATAAGATCCTGCATACAAATATGCATGAACTTTGCATATGTGAAACAAACAAAATATATATATATATATATATATATATATATATATATATATATATATATATATATATATATATATATATATATATATATATATATATATTGGTAAACAAATATTGCATATTAAATTCAATTTCAAATTAAAATACTCACTTAAAAAAATTGTAATAATAAATTCCTCTTACCAAAAAGATGTATTAAATAAGAAGAATGATCCTTAAAAAAAAATTAAGCTGAAGATTAAGAAAGAAAGAATCTTCTATGGAAGGAAAATGGAAGGTCCTGCCGAAAGTAAAAGCTCAAGAGTGATCACCAATACCCTATTGAAGTTGTGAATTCAAGAATAGAAGATTTTTAATCATTTTTTTTTTTTATTCATCTATTTAACTTTAGAGTACCCGTACACTAAATGCATAACCAAGAGCTATGATGCATCGATACTAACACGGGACACGACACGATATGCTGACACGTTAATTTTAAAAAATATCATATTTCAACACGTTGGACACGTTTTGATATTAAATAATATTTTTAATATATATAATATAATTTATATTTAATACATATAACAACTTTTAATAAGTCATATAATCAATCAAATATTCAAATTTCATAACATAAATATAAACAAAAATAATTTTTCGTACCTTGTTAATTTTTCATGTAAATTTCATAACAAAAAAATTGATTTATAATTTTTTTTAGTTAATAAAATTAAGTAAAAAAAAAAAAACGTGTCTGATACGTGTCAGAGAGTTGACCGCGCGTCGAAAAAAGTTGACTGCATGTCAAAAAACGTGTCAGAACGTTGACCGCGTGTCCTAAAATGTTGACTGCATGTCGGATGCGTGCCGGAGCGTATCCGTGTCGGACACGTGTCCGACACGCACATTTTGTAAAAAGTTACGTATTGGTGTTTCTGAGCTGGGAGCAACAGCTCGCAACCAAAGCAACTGAAAAAGATTCGTAAAAAATGTTATATTTACAAAAAAAAAATGAATAACTAGCTATAATACATGAAAAAAAAATTCTCTCCCTTCGTTCTTGCACACTTCATTTCTTTCTTCTAACTATAGCAAAAAATTCAGACAAGTAAAAAATGAAACCATGTAATCTTTGCATTTGTAAATTTTCTTCATGTGACGATGGTATAGACTAAGGATTATCACATACCTTTTAATTTGTTAGCTTCTCCATTAATACGTATTGGAGGCGTAGTATTAGAAACAAAGGATAACCAAAAGTCGGAGGATAACGTTTAAAAATCGTATACGATTTGGATGTGCCTCGAGATAGTTCGTCTAAATTTTACAGTTAACATACTCTAATTACAGTTCAACAACATGGCTAAATTAGCTTATCTGAAAAATCCGAAAAGAGAGAAAGAAATTAGACCCTTTACATTAAAGTCAAGTACTATTTATATCGTATAATTGCTAATGCTAACCACTAGTAAGAAGTATCCGCATGATAACTCCTAGAACGTCAAATCATTCTCCTCCTAGAATGTTGGGGACCCTAGAACAAAACCCGTGATATCCATGAAGCTTTATAATGAAACTTGACAGGCAATACGTTCCCAAGTGCCCGAAAGAAAAGCCGTAAACAACCCACAGCATAAAATACAAAGTACAAACATATTTGTTTCATTTTTTTGGTTGGTACATTTCTATTTTATCCACAAAAGATTTTGAATAAGGGCATGATCCATTTACAACAAAAAAATTAATTAGATTATAAATGAACACCACCACTTCAGATTATGTCATCCTTCACCTTGCTACGTTCTTACCTCTATTCTTCAAGTCTTCCCACGTTATCTGCTGGGCGCATTCACCACATACTGTACTGCAACCATATTTTGTGCCCTGACTTCTGAGCGTCAACAAGTGCGCAAGGTTGGTGCATTTCCGCGTCGCGAAACGATTCCTTAGCTTACTTGGTGAGATGCTGCGGGTTTCAGATACATGGGGCTTAGCATTTGCATTCCGAATTTCTGGCTTTTGATCAGGCATGGTCTCACGGAGTGGTACTCTCTGCACTTCTTCCCATTCCAACGATTTCCGATACACCTCCCAAGCCATATCTTGCTCCTCTTTTGATAGCTTTTCCTCTTCATTTTCTTGTAACAGGGATTCATGTTCATGATAATTGGCAATCCACCTATTATCAAAATTTGCATCAGCTGATGCGTCAGATACAGAGTAGTTATTCCAGAAAAATTGAGAGAAACTAAATATAAACATCTGTACTTTAGAGAACAGACTGGTACAAAAATCACAAGTCTATGCACTTCAACTAAAAAAACATTGATGTATTCTACTGCAACTAGCATAGCAGAAATCCAGCAACTCTAACAACCTGTTTAACTAGTGTCCTAATCGTACTAAACTCAAGATCCAGACAACACTTGTGATATTATCTGATTAGTACCAAAAATATTTATTACTTTTGTCATACTAAAAATTAATACTCCTAATTAGTTATATTTTTAATATTTTCTAAACATACAATTTTATGTTTATATATAGTCTTTATATTGACCAATTCAACCCTCCATTTGGCCACATATCCCTTGGTCAGCACTAGCCTAAACTTTTATTTAGAAGAATATGGCAGCAATAATCAAATCTTGACCACATTGTCATATAGAGGCTTTGAAACCATATCATGGACCAATTAATCCAAAAACTTAAGCTCTTGAATGTAGGGTTGTAAATGGTTTTATATATAACAATATAATTAGAATTGGACAATGTCTTTCATTTGTGCTGTCAATTAAAAAACATGTGGACAAAATAAAAAATCTATTATACACCACTAAATAAGACCCAGGGTTAAAAAGGAAAAGACTATAGGACCATAACATACAAAGATACCATAGAAGTCCAACCAAAAAATACACCTTAATCATGAAAACCGACTCTATGAAACAACAGCTGTAAGAGAAGCTACCGTGGATGATGCTTGCTAAGTAAGCTTTCCATTAACTTATCAGAATAATTGCTCCCATTTGAATGTGGTGCTGTATGCTTCAGTGAATGCCCAACCAAAACTGGATTATTTTGATGACAAGTATGCCCATTTTCCTGACTTAGCTCAGCCAAAGTTTCAGGGTTCTCATCATCACCAAACTCAAAGAGATGTAACATTTCTTCTTTAGATATGGTCCTATGCACCTGTTGTCTATCGACCACTCGAGCAGCAAGCCCCTCCTTTGTTACCTATTGAAACCATTTCTCTCCATTAGAAAAACTGAAATGAACAATATAAACACATCATTTGTATTACCTGGCGCTTATATATTTTCTCTTCCATAGTTCCATGCGCCAGCAATCGATAAGCAAACACAGGCTTTGTCTGCCCATACCTGGAAAAATGAAAAATATTTTGACCACATTGTTTGTCAATTGCCGCAAAACAATAAATTTGTAAATGATCAAATAAAAAAATGTCCATCCTATTAATTTTTAAAGTGATCTTTCCAGATTGAAACCATCCAAACTATTCCAAACCAAGTGAAGATTTTGATATGCAAATATTGTGATATCAATTATGGGTATGACTGTACCACCGAAGCACTTTATCCCTTATTATGAGCAAATGCTTTTGCAAGAATTAGGAAATATAGGTGACCATAACTCAATGCGAAAGTCTCAAATCTTTCAGACAATATTCATAACTGCTTAGTGTTAAAGATGTAATAAAAAACATTTACGTGCCTTCAATTTACAGCTTAAGCTATTGGGAAGTTAGTCCTTGACATAGTATCGAAGCTTCTATAATATGACCAAATGGTCTAGCATTCATCCTTGCTGTCCCCATTCTTCTAAATAAAAGTTAAATTTAAGCATAAGGTAGGTAGGGGCATTGAGTATTTTACATGCTTCAAGGCCAAAGAGCTCTTGCATGAGGGAACGTATTAGAGATGTAATAAACCACTCATGCCATATCTTGCAACTTAAATTTTTAAGAGAGTTGGTTCATAACACTTAGCATTAACTACGAGATAAGAACTCTATTTGATAGTTAATTTTTTGGCTGTTATTGGTTTTTTCTTTGGGGGGGATTCAAATAAGAATTCTATTAAGATAAAAGAAGATCAGTACAAAAAGATTGGAGGATAAAAGATCCTCTCATAGACTCTCGGAGCCCAAATCCAAATCGTCTAAGCCCATTCTGATTTATGCTTGTGGTAAAAATAGGAGGAAGATTAATTGGGCCTCAATGAATACTGACGCAGCACCTGAAGAGCGTGAGCCTGACGTCTTTATTGGACAGTGAATTGGTTACGTGAGTAGGAGGTTGGAAGTTTGTTATTTGGGTGTGCTGCTGCATGGGTAGAGGCACCTTGGGAGGTCATGGGAATTAGGCTTGATTAGGGAGATACTCAGGGCGTCTCATATGTGCCCTGCTGTTATTTTGCTTCTGTTACTGTTCCTTTTCATCATTTTGCTCTGTAATAATTAATTCCTTGTAACAGAGATTATACCTTGTTAATTTCATTGAGTTTAATACAAACAGTTGTGGTATTTCTCTTTTAAAAAATTTTGATCCTATCATCCTCCTAAAACAAATACATACAAAAGAGAACAAAAAAACATTAATGAAGCAAATCTACCCATTCCCATAACATATCTGTAAGGGAACCCCTCTGAAAGGACCATGAGCTTTAAACCAAGCAGAAGCCAAACCCCTTATCTTATCCCAAAGAATCTGCTCATCTGGAGAATTCTCCCCAAGGGTGCATTTGATATGCTAAAAAAATAAGTATAACCACTGCCCAAAAAACTGCGCTTTATTTTATTTGTAAAATAGTTGAAGCGCTGGACGAAAAGCAACTCAAGGGACAACACAAAACTCCTAAGTTTTGTAACCCACTAAACCAGGGGATGAAATGTTGTGCACAGCACAAAAAAGAAAAATACTAGTTTATCCATTAAACCCTTGTCCGTTTATTCTCCCAACCTTCCTTCCTTCAACCGCTTCTTCACATGCTTTGTCATCTCTCCCTCCATCAATTTGTTTTATCTCTTTATATGTGTATGGTGCTTGCCTAGGAGCGGTGTTGGTACAAGCTTAAGCAATTGGAGTTCCATGGCCTCGAGATCAGAGGCTCACAGTCCTCAACCTTGCAGCTTCCAGCACCAATACATATTGAAAACGTCCATACGTTTTCTATGCATTCTGAACCTTTGATGGAGTTCTTGGACTCACTAATCCAAATAAAAAGGTGGTTCTTGCAAAGACATGCTTTGGAGGGATGGATATGGGCTATGGCCCTTGCAATGGACAAATTTCCAGAAAAAAATAGCAGTAGGAGTTTTTTATTCATAATATATGATTAATTATTAATATAAAAATTTATTAAAAAATATATTAATAATAATAATAAATTATAATTAGAGTGTGAAAGTAATTAAATGATAAATATTAAAATGATCAAAAATATTAAAATCTTGTATGTGCAATTTCTTAGTGCAAAAAAAAGAGTGCATAGAACAAAGAGTAATGTAGTAAATTTTGCATTGTTGTGTCTCCTACTTATGCATATCAAGTATGTACAGCGCAAAATTGCTTGTACTATGTATAGTCTACCAAACAACAGGGAGAACAAAAAGTTATGTTTTGACTCAGCTACTTGTTGTGTATTGTTCTACTTATGCAGTTTCTTAATATGCACCAAACCCAACCTAAAGGTGAACATTACATCCAATGGGAATCTCTTCCTTTACCCATATTCCTTTAAAAATTTATTCCTGCTCCGATTGCTTGATGGTACCAAAGTTTACTTTATAACTAATGTATATAGGAAGAAAGCTCATTGCGAATAAGGGAAAAAGTAGCAGGAGCTTACCTCCAAGCTCGATAGATAGCCTGGAGATCATATGTTGGATTCCAAGAACCATCAACTATAACAACACGGTTAGCTGCATGAAGATTAATACCCAGAGAGCCTGCTCTGGTTGAAATAAGAGTGCATTTTACCCTCCTATTCGAAGACTCGTTAAATCTTTCAACAAGCTTCTGCCTTTCAGAGCTCTCTGTCCTTCCATCCAGCCTGGAGGTTAAATCACATGAAAATAATGAATCAAAGAAAAAGTATTTAAAATAGGAGCCACCTAAATTTCGAAGTACCAATATAATTGAAAGCTTCTACATAGAGCATCATATGCAGTTAGAGATGTAATCAATCCAGGCGAGAAGAAACATATGAAACAGTAAAAAAACATACAGATTACAGAAGTCTGACTTAGACAGAGAGAAACAAAATTATAAGTGGGTACATAATGACCAGAAGAAACAAAAATTCTATACGTGCAAAGAACATTTGATCTAAAATCCTAAATATGTTTTCATTAAAAAAAAAAAAGACATACATTAAATGCAATAACTAGTTCATACATCTTTTTCTTGGGATTAAAAAGATAAACGATAAGCCGTTTTACATATTTTTTTGTTTGTTTAAAAGCTGGTCAGCAATAAAATGTACCCATTGCCATACATTATATTACTGAACTATTAACCGACTGTCACACCATGTATATAGTGAGATGTTTCATGTTTGGTGTTTTATCAGAATCTTTCCAAGGTGTCCCTCAAAAAGACATCTACTACTCCCAACTTGAAAGTGGGGGAAAAAAACAGAAAATTTGGAAACTATCAGTAATAATTAGGGCATGCCAATAGGAAGATTAGTGCATAAGGATGTTAAAATATAAAGCATTAATCCTAAATTATTTGGAAAATCTAAGCAGCAAGTAACATAAGGGGAAAGAGACAGATTATCCCCATACTTTTAAAATAACAATGCCTGCAGATAAAATTATTTTAAGAAAGAAATTATACATTCCAACCACAAATACATGTTAAAAAAACAACCAGATAAATAAAAACAAATCCAAAGACTAACAAGAGTAACAGCAAGTTAGACAGGTTTTAAAAATCTGAACCCACCTATACCAATCTTTTCCCTTCTTCCAAAACTTTCCTCTTTTGCCACATCGAGGCATCCTTGAGAGATAAAGTTCTATAAGGTCTAGGGTTGGTATGCTCTGACTAAAAACTAACACCTTATCGCCCACATCAGAACTCATGGTTAGTATGTCTATCAGCAAAACCATTTTGCCACTGTATTCAACCTCTTTATAAATTTTTTCATGAAGAAGATCATTCCACCACCCCTGGAAAGTGATAAATAAGAAGCATGTGTTAAAAGCATAATTCACACCACGTAATCTAGCCTACAATTCATGCAAAGTAAAATCACTATATCATGAGGTGACAACGAAAGTAGCCAACACTGAATCTTATATTTTAAAATCCTAATTCAATTGAGAGGATCAAGTAAAGAATTATTACATTTATCAATTTAGTTTGTTTCTTTCATACCTTGACGAAAAATCCATTATCATCTTTCCGTTGCAGCAAATCATTTGCATACTTCATCTTCTCTGTAAGGCAATGAATTGTCAAAAGATACCTCAAAGATTTAAATTCGTGATATGAAGAACAAATGATATAAGGATAAAGAAAACTCATAATAGTCAATGGATTATGTATTACAAGAAAGGTAGACATATGTTTTATTACTAGCTGACGACTTCCATACATACGTTGTAGTAACTCATCATTGAACAAACCCAAATTCATTGTCTCTCCTTTTTCTTTTTCTTTTTTTGGTTAAAAAATCCTGAAATTCTTAGGTCAAAACCAAAGATTTTAATTAGGACCCAGAATGAGGATATATAAACAGAATGGGTATTCATCATGCTATTCAGACCTTTTTGAAGTGCTTTAGGGTACAACAGAGACTAAGCTTGGACACCAAATTTTATGGTTCCCATATTAGAAGAATTCCCAAAGAATCAGATTTAATGCCACTGGATCTATGCTTTTTAATCTTTCAAATTTCCTTCACTACTAAAATAAGCAATTCAAAAATGGTAAAGGCAGTAATATCAAGTTTGAAAAGCAAAAAAGTAACTGATTATCGAAGAGCTTATGATTTATATAAAATGATGGTGAATTTAAGATGCAAAGCATATAAATATCAATGAGGCATGTAGGAATAATACAGAAAGCCACTGTATCCCTCGCTCACACACTAGCACACAAAAGCAGTGCTTTAAATTGGTTCCTTTAGTTAACAGGGAAGCTCATCCAAACGACTCATAAATTATTGCAGAGAAACATTTTCTAGTTTCTATTAAGGTAAAGCCTCTATACTTTATAGTTCCTTTTCTTTACCATTTGTACCTCCTAGTCCTAGGGCATTTAAAAATAAAGTTGGTCATTCATCAGAAAAAAAAATTGACCGATGGTGATTGTGACCCCTAAACAGATAGAACATATCTGTTTCCATCATAAAACTGATGGTCATTAAAGACATCTGAACTATGTTCACAAGTTTCAAAACCAGTAGTTCCTCAATATAAAGCCCCTGCAAAGAGCAGTATCTCCATAGTACATAAAGAGATGTAGAAGGAACCAAATCACTAATAACAACTTTCAGTTTCCAGCACATACAGCAAAACAAATGTAAAAAACTGAAGCAATTAATTTAATCTTATAGTCCGATGTCAAACAACATGGAGAACAAGATTCTAGAGATTCAAAGCATACTAATAACAAACAAATAATAATAATAATTGATTGTGCACATACAAACATACATCCAATAACCACTCACAGCATCTAGAGGAAGCCTTCAATCAATTAATAATTAACTTAATAAGCAATATTGGAAGCATACAAGTGTAGGCGCCTATAGATCCATATACATGAAGACTACCTCCAGCAAGCACATTAAAATCAGAATTTTCATCACTGGAGCTATCATCCACAAGAAAATTCTCAACAGCATCTTCATGTCTTACATAGTCCTTGTCTTCTTTTGTCAATTGTAAGATCCCAGGGTGGTTCCATATCTACTACAAACAATAAATTTCTTTATCACCATTATATACTAAAACAAGCTAGGAAGCAACCATAATTTAAAAATAAGTTCAAGAATCACTGAACATTCATTTTCAGCTCAAAAGTAAAAAAAATTATGAAAATCATACTAAAATTAATAGAAAATAATGGGCCAATTCTGAAAAATGTGAAATAATATCAATACATTTTTTTATAATATTCGATACAAATTTCACCTTGCATTTTAAACTATGTGAAAATAGAATACTTTTCACAAGACATAAAATTACTCTCTCTCTTTTTTTGTGATATTTCAATTAATTTAGTAATACTAATAAATAATGAGCAATTTTTTTGACAAAAGAATAAACCTTAACGTCCTTTTAAAAGAACTAAAAAATGGAAAAACCAGCAATTTTTGGAAAATAGCCGGTTATGAGTTTTTCATATATCAAAAGCTGCAGTTTGAAAATAATATATGCAGAAGCAACAATTGATAATTAACAGGAGATTTAGTCAAACTAAAGAATAGGTAAAATTGAGCAAATAAATAACCTATGCAAATATTTATATTAATCCAACTTTTAACCTAAATTAATTACTGTTGAGATATATAAAAATCATTAATGTAGCTTCACCCAACACCTTAAGGGTTTGGGTTGAAATGGTTCTTAACATGGTATCAAAGTTTCAGTGATAACAAGGTCACGAGTTTGATCCTAACCATCTCCCATTTTCGAGTGGAATTAAAATAAGCACAAGCTAAAACCAAAAACATTGGGTCTGTGCAATATCCACACTTCAAGCCTAAAGGGCTCTTGTGTGAGGGGGTGTGTTAGAGAATAATATAAACCATTAAAAATACTCTCACCTAACACCTTAAGGTTTTGGGTTGAAGTGGTTCTTTACATGGTATCAGAGCCTCGGTGTACCGGGTTCCATCCTCACCGCCCCCCACTTTCTTTATAGTGAAATTTCTTTCTTCGCACAAGTAGGTGGGCCTGTGCATTATCCACCCTTCAAGCCCAGTGGGCTCTCGTGTGAGGGGGCATGTTGAGATATAAAAACCATTAATGTAGCTTCACCCAACAGCTTAAACTTTTGAGTTGAATAAATTTTTTTTGTAAAGAACCAATTCAACCCAAAAGCTTAAGCTGTTGGGTGAAGCTACATTAATAGTTTTTATATATCTCAACACGCCCCCTCACACGAGAGCCCACTGGGCTTGAAGGATGGACAATGCACAGGCCCACCTACCTGTGTGAAGAAAGAAATTCCACTATAAAGAAAGTGAGGGGCGGTGAGGATCGAACCCGGTACACCGAGGCTCTGATACCATGTAAAGAACCACTTCAACCCAAAACCTTAAGGTGTTAGGTGAGGGTACATTAATGGCTTTTATATATCTCAACAATTACTCATACCAATATGCCCCTCAAAACCTCATGTTCTTTAACTCCTACCTTTTCCCTCTTATCACATTGCTGCCTCCTACTTTTTGGAAACCACCTCCTTTTTTTCCCTTCAGGCTATTATATCTACTAAAATTGCTCAGATTATTAAATTGACAATCAAGTTCTCCAAAGGCATACTTACCCGAGCTAGTGCCTGGTACCCAGCAAAAAAACTTCTCTTTCTTAAATTTTCATGATGCACCCTGTCCTTAGTGAACCCATGCACATCAAGGAATCTCTTGTACAATTTTCTCTGTAAGGGAGAAAGCTTGACAGTTATCACAAAGACAGTTTTCGGTGGTAGATCCTTCTTCACCACAGTCATGTCCATTCTTTGTACAAAGCCTTTTAACTGTTCATAAAGGATATGAGACCTTTGGTTCATAATTTTCACGTCAGTCAGAGTTGAATTAGTGTGTTGACCATTCTCTATAGGATTTTGGAAGCTGCACATGTAGGAAAATATTTTCTGAGAAACATATGCATAATAAATTACAGTAAAAAACAGAACAATGAGAGTAAATAAAGCCTTGCCGGTTCCTAAATTCATGGCTGCTTCCAAGAAAACCTTCTCTTACAAAATCAACCATCTGTTTAAAGAAAATGCTGAAGAGTCAAAGATTGCATTCAACAACATAATGGTCATCCAATTTGTAACTTACTACGCAATCTTACACAATAATATTCCATGAGATTGTTTTGAAGGGGTGATCCAGTAAGCGCAATTCTTCTCTGGCATTTTACTTGTTTCAAGGCTTGAGTTACCTCAGCCTTTGTATTTTTTATCATGTGGGCTTCATCACAAACGAGAATGTCAGGTCCGTCCTGCAGTAACGTGTCAACAATATCAAAGGAATGCAGTTGCAAATTACATGAATTAGAATTTTAGAGTTATTCAAGTGTTAGGAGTCATAATCCTGTCACTATTCTACTGCTGAATATGCAATTACTTTGTCTCATGTCCTCTATTTTAACCCTGCTTTAGTGTCCGATGGCTATCCCACTTTTTCAGCATCCTTGTCCTCTCAACTATGTTTGCCATTAACCACTTCTTGCCTGGATACAAACCATCATTGGTCTGGATCTGCAGGACCTTGAAATTTCAGACAATCAGATTTTCCACATGCTACGTATGCAACCTATCTCCAGCAACCTTTTGGCGACATTCTGGCACATATTTCGAGTATTTCTGGCCATTTCTTCTCCAGACCAGGTCTACTAGCACATTTTGGTCCAGCCCACTTTTCTAACCAGAATCTCGCAGTTTCATTGCCAGAAAATTCATCAACTTCTGCCATTGTTTTTTCACTTTTCTGATCACTTCATCAAAAACAGAGACACCACCATCATGTTTGTAGGCCATTTATTCTCTAGGAAATGAAAGTGTCACAAAAAATACAGCAGTTCATTCTGAGCTGTTTTCAGTCCAAGCTGTTTGGTTGTTTGTCTCTTTTTGGCTGTGTTATCTTTTCAACACAGTGCTCATTTGTCTCTCCAGCAGTCATGAAATATTTATGATACCTCATTTTGTTGTGTTGACTCTCCAGCAATGCTATGCAGTTTATGGAGTCCACTATATTTTTTACAGTAAATTACACATTACCTCCCTGTAAATTCCCACTTTTCAATTAACTCCCCTCAAGTTTTTATTGCATCAATTAACCCCCCTCAACTTTGGTTTAAATTTAAAAAATTACCTTTTCAGTTAAATTTAACAGCAATTATTATTTATTTTACACATTACCCCAATGTGGTTTAACATTTTCCAAACCTATCCCCCAAAAGTTTATATTTTATCACCAAGCCCTCTACAGGAAAATAAACTTTAGGGAGGGCCAATTAAGAAAGTTTTGAACTGCTGTTAAAGTTAGCTGAAAAGTAAATGCGTTCAACTTAAACCAATGTTGAGGGAGGTTAAGTGTTGCAAACAAAAACATGGGAGTTAATTGACAAAAGGCGAAGTATAGGGGATAATGTGTAATTTACCCTATTATTCTAATTAAATTTACAAGCTTGATGCATATCATCTATATGCTCCAGCATGAGATGGAGTATAAGAATACTAGTCTAGATTCACTAGCATTAAGTCTAGATTCATTAACATTTAACAACACGTTAGAATGTTAGTCCATTATAGTTATGACTCTGGTCAATATCAATAAATTAGCTCTGTAATTAGTCATTCATTGATTAGCTACTGTACTCAATGCACTATTGCAATAAATAAGATGGATTATGTGTAAGCTTTACACTCAATTTCTCTCAAACACCCTTTGTTTGACATATTCTTACACTTCCTGAGTAATGTCAAGATACTAGACAACAACGCCCAAGGATGTGCATCGATGAATTATAAACAAACCAGATCAACAGCAACATAAAGAGTTATCATCTAACAACATGAAGAAATGCTATTTCAAGGATTTTACCTGTAAAGCATGGCAAATTTCTCTGGCCATCTGCCGATCTTTCACATTCTTTCCAAAAGACAAATTTCGGAAAGCAGAGTAGCTAATCAAAAAGACACCACCTTTAGCTCTCCACTTCGCAAGCAACTCTGCCCTCCTATCTCTGGGAAAAAGGAAAGTACATTAGCCAGATGATGACTGAATATGTTGTTGAGTTGAAAATATGAAAAGGTGAAGGGTGCTCTAGCTACATGGATCTTGCAGTTTCACTGTTACTTTTACAGGTTGGATGTCTAATTGTAATCATTAATTTCATGAAATAGTAAAAAGATGAATCTTTTCGTATCTTGTTTCTCTTTTGATAAAAGAATAATTAATTAGGATATAGAACATGTGCAAAATAGGAGGATAAGAAATCCGCCTAGAGCAACCAAAAAACAGAAACCCAAGCAATGGAGCCAAATGCAAATATAATAAGACATCCACCCACTTTCTCCCATCATGCAAATGAGTATTCATACAGAAACTATTGTGCAAGTCAAATAGAACATAGACTCGCTAAATTTGTTGACTGACTGGTCCTAAGAATTTCAAGAGGTAAAAAAAATAAATTGAAAGATGCTTCACCAAGAAGCAATCCCAACAAAAGGAGTTATTTGAGTGAGCCACTAAATTCAAGAACTGAGGTTGTTTCCACAAATGCCCAAATTCCAAGCACAAGTAGTTGATAAAAAAAAATCAGCCTGACTTATTAAAAGCAAAGTATCACATGGACTCACTTCAAAAAAAAAGTATTACATGGACTGGTGCTTATAAATGCTAACAATGCAAGCCCATCACCGGATCAGTTTTATATAATTATTTACTATAGATTGAAGTGTATATGTACGTTGGTAATTGTTAGAGGTCTGATGGATAATAAAATGATGTCAAAACAAAATAAGAAGCAAACCTTGATACATCTTCCAGCATGGAGACCCTGAGTGGCTTTAATTCTGAAGGTCTCCACTTGATGAACTCCTGCCGCCAATTATGCAGCACATTGACAGGTGTGACTATAAGCACAGTTCTTAACCCCAAATCAACACTTCTCATTGCAGTGTACAATAAAGCTATCACCTAAAAGTTTCAGCATAACCAGTCATCAAACCAAAACCATCAAACAGCAAAAGGAAAGAGAACCAACCAAAAAATGTTGTAAACTATTCCCAACTAAATACACAGAACTAGAATAATTATCCTTTCTATCCTTAAATATGCAATAAGATGTATTTCTAATTTTATCTTTTTTATCCATTTATATTTATCCTTTACGTGAGTAATTTACTGAATGTAAGTTTTGAAAAATACAAAATTCGAGACCAAAGGAGGAAATCCCTTTAATAACAGTATACAAGCATAGCATGGCTTCCATTTTACAGCTCCCACACAGATGGTGGGTGTCGTAGCTTCTCAATGCTGTTGGGAATTTTATAGCAGGAAGCCCTGATTCTTCCATAATGGCCATGGGTGTTGCCATTAAATACTGCTTACCCTCCAATTGCAATTATTTTCAAACATTACCCAAATTCTCACTGAATAGTTATAATTAACTTCAAACACTCTTTATTCTTTCTTTTTTTATCTTAACCCAAAAAAAAAAAGGATCAAGAAGCATGTAATGCCAGTCCAAATGATAGTCCACAATAAAGATGGCAGATGGATGACAATGTCTCTCCTCAAAACCCATTTTTCTTGCATCTAGCAGCCATTGGGCTTCTTACTTTAAGATAAATTTGCGTTTTGGTTAACTGTCTGTCAAAGTATACCAGCAAATTAACTGCCAACACAGGTATCTTCATTGAGGTCCAGACTCGGCCATTATCCAGAGTCATATATTTTTCATGTGTGTTCCTTCTCGAATCTGCCACTTCTTTTTCAATGATTTCTTTATTGACTGCCAACAGACCTCTTCCTTCCTATATCTCTTTCTTTTCAGTTTCTTTTGTAATAAGGCAATGTATTTTATTTAACTTTGCCTCTTTCTATTCATTCTTGACCTGTTTCCTAGCTCAATATCTATATGTTTTGACTGGGGTGCGACTCGCGGGTATCACAGAGGCTGGGGAGACTCACAATACAGTTACAACTCAGATATGTATTTTTCATGAGTGTTGCTTCTCTAAAAGATTTCTTTCTTGACTGCCAACAGACCTCTTCTCTTCTTATATATCTTTTTTCTCAGATTCTTTTGTAAGAACTAAGATGGCAAAGCATTTTATTTAACTTTGCCTCCTCTTTGTATTCACTGTTTACATGTTTGCTTGGTCTAAATCTGTATATATGTTTTGACAGGGGTGCGGCTAATGGTTATCTCAGAATGGCTGGGGAAACTCAAAATACAGTTACAACTCAAATATCAGTTCACAGAAAAGACATTGATCTACCACATGTATTTTCAACAACCCATAATTCACTCTTTAGTTATATGTACAAATTAAAATCTCCAGAATCAGAAGAATACCTGAAAAGTTTTACCAAGGCCCATGGTATGAGCTAAAATACACCCAAGACCTTTATCCCCAGACTTCACTTTTCTGATTGACTGTATTATATTTTCCCACATAAATCTTATTCCAGCAATCTGCAAATATGAAACAAATCAAACCGTAGAGAAAACAAATATAAAAAGACCAACAAACTCTACGTAAAAACTTCAAAGATTCTCAAAGAGGTGGCAATAAAAAATTCAAATGAACAAATGGAAGACACAAGGCCAGTGAAGAGTAATAGTAATTCCTACTCCTTACATCTATGGTATCTGTTGTAAATAATAGTATTTGTTTAATTATTTTCATTCTAGAATCTTCTTTGGGCTTAGCCCATTAGGTTATTTAGTCTCTTTAAATATAGAGCAATTGTACAGATGTTATACACAATTTTATCAATAAGACTATCTCTTTTTTCAACTTGGTATCAGAGCTCTCGATTCTGAGGGCTCTGCTTTCGCAAATCACCGCCTTTAAAAACCAAACCCTATTTGCCTCTCGCCGCCACAAAGCCGCCGTCGGAAAAAAATTTCCGAAGACCTTTTGGACCGTGAGGACCCCTGTTTCACTCTGTTTTCTCAGATCTATCATTCTACGGAGGTTTCTTTTTCATCAGACGACCGGAACAGCTCCCCAAAAAAAAAAACATTGTCCACAGTACTGTTCACACGCACTGTTCATCGCTACTGTTCACGCGGTACTGTTCGCGCAAAAAAAAAAAAAAAACTTTTCCTGCTTGGTTTTGCCTCCTCTTTCCAGATCTGTGTTTTTCTCTTCGGTCAGACATCATTTGGATTTGCGTTTGTGTGATTTTCACCTCAATATTATGGCTGGTTCAAATGGTGCATCTTCAGAATTTATTTCTATTTGCCGAGATGAGTTGAAGCAGATTTGTACTATGCTTGATTTTCTGAGTAAGCCATCTAATACTAATGCTTTGGCCATGACTGGTATAAGCTCCACTACTCATTCTTTTCTTTCTTCTTGTACTGATTTTAAACATTCTTGGATTATTGATTCTGGTGCTACTGATCATATGGCTTGTTGTGCTGACTCCTTTCATTCTTATAACCCTACTATTGGCACCCATACAATAGCTGTAGCTGATGGCTCACACACATCAGTTGCGGGTTCTGGTAACATATTTACAGCCTTCATTACATCTCCAAAATGTTCTTTATGTTCCCAAACTCTCCACTAATCTTCTTTCTATCCATAAAATTACCAAAGATTTGAATTGCACTGTAACTTTCTTCCCTATTCATTGTGATTTTCAGAATCTCGCCACGGGAAAGACGATTGGGGGGTGCTAAAGAGCAAGGTGGCTGTACTATCTGGTGCCAGAATCTTCTGCAAAGTATGCTAAAGATCAAACCTTGTTGACTCAGTCTCAGTCTACTGCCGACTCTTTGATTTGGCTCCATCATAAACGCTTGGGGCATCCTCCATTTCGTTTGCTTAAGTCTTTATTTCCATCATTATTTTTGTCTAAATCTGTTGAGTGTTTTCATTGTGATGTTTGTGAGTTTTCTAAACACCATCGTGTCTCTTTTCCTTCTAGTACCATTAAAAGTGTCGAGCCTTTTGATCTTGTTCATTCTGATGTTTGGGGTCCTTCTAAAGTTCCTCATGCTTCTAGTAATAAATGGTTTGTTTCTTTCATTGATGATTGCAATCGTGTAACCTGGGTTTATTTAATGCATGAAAAATCTGAGGTATCATAGTTAATCTTTCAATTTTATAAAATGATTGAGACCCAATTTGAAAAAAGAATTAAAAGACTAAGGTCTGACAATGGTACCGAATATGTCAATCAGTGTCTTTCCAAATTCATCCAAGATCAGGGCATGATTCATGAACTTACTTGTGTGGACACCCCTCAACAAAATGGAGTTGCTGAGAGAAAGAATCGTCACCTTCTTGAAGTTGCTCGTGCCTTACCTTTTCAGAATCATGTACCCAAATGCTACTGGGGAGATGTCATTCTTACTGCAGCTTTCTTAATCAATCGCTTGCCCTCTCGGGTCCTTGACAATATAAGTCCTATTCACTCAATGACTTCATTCTTTCCCTTTGTTCCCTCTATGCAGAGTCTTCAGCCACGAGTGTTTGGGTGTGTTGTCTTTGTCCACGTTCATAAACATCTTCGCAATAAGTTGGATCCTAGGGCTCTCAAATGTATCTTCTTTGGTTATGCCTCTGATAAGAAAGGCTACAAGTGTTATCATCCTGCTAGTCGGAAATTCTGTCTCAATGGATGTCATATTTCATGAATCTAAGTCCTTTTTCCCAAGTCCTCGTCTTCAGGGGGAGAGCATTTCTTCAGTAGATTCATCACCTTCTATCTTTGAGTCTGGACCTTCCATGCCTTCTGCTACACCTCTTCCTCCTGTTTCTAATTCTTTTGTGTCTGACCCATCTAATACACCGAAAATACGGAGGATTGTGACACCTGAGTTGATATATCACAGGAGAAAGCAGCCCACACTACTTCACCAGCAACCTCAATCGTCTGAACGACTGGAAAGTCCTGAATCTCTTGTTTCTGATTCTAATATTATTACTTCTCCTGTTTCTGAACCTAATATTGTTGCATCTAATGATTTGCCTGTTGCTTCTGATAGCTTATCCAGTACCTCTGATGACTTACATATTGCCCTAAGAAAAGGGAAAAGATCTTGTACCTAACACCCTATCTCTCATTTTGTCTCGTCTACTAACCTTTCTGTGCAGCACAAAAGCTTTATTTCAGCACTAGATTCTATCACAATCCCAAAATCAGTACATGAAGCATTAAAAGATGAGAATTGGGCTCGAGCCATGCAAGATGAAATGAATGCCTTGGAGAAAAATAAAACATGAGAGGTTGTTGATAGACCTGATAGAAAGAAAGAAGTAGGGTGCAGATGGGTTTATGCCTTGAAATATAATTCTAATGGTACTCTTGAGAGATATAAGGCTCGGTTAGTTGCCAAGGGTTACACTCAAACTTATAGCATTGATTATAAAAAAACTTTTGCCCCAGTTGCAAAGATGAATACTGTGAGAGCTTTGTTGTCCCTTGCTACCCATTACAACTGGAATATGAATCAATTTTATGTGAAGAATGCTTTCCTTAATGGTGAGTCAGAAGAAGAAGTCTACATGGAAATTCCACCTGGCTTTGGTTCTATGGATGGAGGAAATAAAGTTTGCAGGTTACAAAAAGCCTTGTATGGATTGAAACAGTCTTGTGCCTGGTTTGGGAGATTTACTAAGGTTATGCTGGCCTTAGGATATAACAGAGTCAAGGAGATCACACATTATTCTTCAAGCACTCCCAAAATGGGAAGCTAACTGTACTCCTTGTATATGTTGATGATATTATTATAACAGGTGATGATATTGCTGAGAAACATTTTCTACAAGCACGGCTAGCCTCTGAGTTTGAAATTAAAGATCTTGGGAGATTGAAATATTTTCTAGGGATAGAGGTAGCTCATTCAAAGGAAGGAATTTTTATCAGCCAGAGGAAATATGTTCTTGATCTTCTTAAAGAAGCGGGAAAACTTGGGTGTAAACCCTCTAGTACTCCTATTGAGCAGAATCACAAGATGGGTTATGAAGAGGAGAGTCCTCCAGTTGATAAAGGACAATATCAACGGTTAGTTGGTAAACTGATATATTTGGCTCATACTAGACCAGATATTGCTTATGTTGTCAGTATTGTAAGTCAGTTCATGCATAATCCAAAAGAAAAACACATGCAGACAGTGGAGAGAATTCTTCAATATCTTAAAGGCACTCCTGGTAAAGGACTGTTGTTCCGGCGTAATGGCAATCTCTCTTTAGAAGTTTATCCCGATGCTGATTATGCTGGATCCGTAACTGATCGTCGATCTACCACTGGTTATTGTATGTTTCTTTGTGGTAACCTAGTGACATGGAGGAGTAAGAAGCAGGACATGGTTGCTAGATCGAGTGCTGAGGCTGAATTTCGAGCTATGGCTCAAGGCGTTTGTGAATTATTGTGGATGAGAATTATACTTGGTGATCTTAAAATAAGATGTGAAGGACCTATGAAGTTGTTTTGTGATAATAAGTCCGCTATTTGTATAGCTCATAATCCAGTTCAACGTGATCGGACTAAGCACATCGAGGTCTACCGCCATTTTATCAAAGAGAAGCTTGACAGTGAGTTTATCACCACTCCATACATCCCTTCTGGACGTCAATTAGCTGATATTCTAACAAAAGGACTTCCCTCAGAAAGGTTTCAAGAGCTTACTAGCAAGTTGGGAATGATAAATATCTATTCCTCAGCTTGAGGGGGAGTGTTGTAAATAATAGTATTTGTTTATTTATTTTCATTCTAGAATCTTCTTTGGGCTTAGCCCATTAGGTTATTTAGTCTCTTTAAATAGAGAGCAATTATACAGATGTTATACACAATTTTATCAATAAGACTATCTCTTTTTTCAACTGTATCCCAGTTTGCATGATTAGCAATTAAACCTCCCTTACTTAAGTAGCAAATGAAGGGATATCAGCTTCCAAGATGAAAAGTCCAAAATGTCCATATGGACTGACTATCGTTGTTTGGCATGGTGTCAATCAAAAGTTTTAGTCCAAACAGATATTCAGAGCATCCTAAAATCCTCCAGTCAGAAGATCACACAAAAAGGTACCAGCCTGATATACAGAAGTGCCAAATTGACATGCAACATATACCTTTATTTTCGTTTTCTTCAATTGTTATGCAATAGTGAACAACAAAGTTGAAAGTTCAAACAGAAACATGTGCACTTCTTCTGATCCCAAGTAGATTTAATAAGGTTTGTTATCCCAAAATCAGGATGTACTTAAGCTAAATTAAGAACTAAGTACGATGAAAACATGAAGCAGGAAAGACGGGTTATATCCATGAAAGATATCAGGGGGACAAGGAAAAGTAACTGTCGAAAAAATAAAAAACCTGGTGGGCCTTCAGTTTAGCTGAGATGCTAGGAGGAATTCTCACAGCTTCTTCACCTTTCTCCCTCACAACATTCACTATGTAACCTGCCAGTGCGTCACCAAGAACTTCAATGCTTGCTCCTTCAGATAAATTCCCAATAAAGCCAGCAGAGCTCATCTTAATCGATGAGGCAGAAAACTGTACTCGCAAAGAATTCAATCGCTCCTGACGTTCCTGCAAAAGTAGGGAGAACAATGAACTATCTGAACCAGTAGGACTAGTTTTGGCAAAACAGGAACATCTACAAAAATGCAACCTTTTCAATTGCTATTTTCCTTTTTGTCTCTTCTCCTAATTCAGCATCATCAAGTATCCGGCGAATCTTCTTTTTGTGCTTTCGCTTAGAGCTGGAAAAAAAATGATATGATCTGATAATAAACATCTCTGCAACTCAACTATAGAGATGATTGATTGTAAAATCTATGCAATAATAAGTTTGATTATCACAACAAGAAATGCATGTAAACCTGAGGATCCCATGTGCATGACTTCATTTCAAATGAGAGAGCTACATGAAATCCTATTGGGAAAAGCTAGAAAAAATATCCAAGATGAAACCACAGAAAAGACTATAATATTCAACAGAAACTCATAATAATCATCAAATAAATGTGAAATTGAGATAAACATTCCTACAATATAAAGAGAAAACAAAAAGCAACAATCCAATTAAGGACAAAGAATAAAATGCTTTTAAGCTACCTTTATTTTCATAATTATCATTCGAACATATCAATACAAGAATGATCATAAAGATAAACACGTACGGAAGCAAGCGTCACTAACTCTCAGCCAATGGCATTAAATGTAAAGACTCAACTACAAAATGTCAAGAATTATATTTTATAAGCACACTTAATAGAAAAAACAGAAAACTGCACATAAGCCTTGCCATTCAAGGCATCAAATAATCATATGCAGCTCAAAAACACAATCAACAACCTCAGGATGAGAAGTTTGAGCATGTCGCATACCTCTTGATAACTAATTAGATTGGAAAACTACAAGGAATTGCATCAAGCATTATGAATTAGAATCAGAAGAGCACATTGAATGCTGTCAATAAACTAAATCTATAAAGATGACTTCACCTGATTGTAACATTAATCTTTGCATCTGAATCATCTGAAGAATCACTACCAGAACTGGAAACTAGTATATCAGCAGATCCCATAGCTTTCTCTAGTTGCAATGACAGTCTTTCCAGAAGATTTGGACGGCAACAACAACAATGCCAGCAAGTGGTTTGAGCTTCAGAAATGAATTCTACATCAAGATTCTTCTTTATACATTTGGTGCAGAATAGTATCTTGCATGATTTGCAATTAACTAATCCACTGCTTCCTCCGCACCATGCACAGAAACCCTCAGAATGATCATGACCCAGGTCCTGCGACAAGTAATTAGCTTAAAGTTAATCTTCAACTGAAGTAAATAAGAAAGATAAGCTCCATCTGCTCAGAAGGGCATTCCAAACTCATTGAGCAATACCAAACTTTGTCCTCGGCAAGAATATTGTCCATCCCTATAAACAAACCAATCACCATACAACCCAACATTTCTTAACATAACTTACCAGCTCCAGTTCAAAGCATTTACTTACTAGAATAACTAAGCATTTCAATAAAGCTTTCAGCCTTCTTTTATGGATATAGAAATATTTTAACATAACTTAAAATTGAGAATATGTGAAAAATCAGCCTACCCCAGATGAGGGTAAAGTCTTATTTGGAGTAAAGTCATCTATAAATATAATGAAACACATTATTCATAACTAAATTTAGAACAACATTGTTTCTTTCAGGTTGCTTAAATTAACAACTCCCTCCTACTTGATAGCAAACGCAAACAACATATTTAACAATTTATATATTTGAAAATTAATATATTTATCCCGCCTAAAACAAAAGCTTGTCCTGGAATAAGATGGCCAAGATATCATGGATTCAGACAAAAAAAATTGTTATTAAATTTTGTTAACACTAATGCATGGTTTCACTACTATACTAAAACTGATGTATGCACCAAAATATCGCTCAGAATTTTAAAATAACTTTTAAGCAAAATTAGTAGCTTTAAGCCCGTACCTTTGCATGTATCTTTCCTTTCATTAAGCAATTGCAATCTCCACAAATAATCACTTTCAAGAAAGGGTGTGGGTGCACTTCAAGAGCCACTTTATCACAAACAGTGCAGTAAAACTTGTCATCCACACACTTCAAAGGAATAGAATCAGCACCACTGATACATAAACCTTCTTTTATCTTGGATTGATCCCCTAGGGTATTCATATTGCAATCTAACTTATCTTCAATGACATCTGCTTCATCATCACTGTCAGTGATAACAGTCCGATACTTTTTATTATCAGGTTCGAGCTCCCCATCATGTAGACGCTTAGTTCCTCTCTGTTCATCACCAGTACTCATAGGCTTTTCTTTGGCAAGATGATAACTGGCATCAAAACCTTCAATTTCATCTGTCTCCATATTATCAGACATAATTATCCCATCATCACCAGCTCCTTCCTTCATAGCAGGATTAGAATGATCAACGGATGAAGGCTTCTGTATGTGGCTCTCCGCCAACAGGTCAGGTGGGCACATTTCTCGCTGAATTACATTCAGATTTAGTAACAGGAGATGATTATGTCAAAAGAACAAAACCAAATCAATTCAATCATCAATAAGTCACATGGGTTCCTGCAACTAGGTGCCTATACCAATGTTGTTAAGATCAAAATCTTATCTAAGATCGGAAGGGGGTAAAAAGATCGTAAATCGGTAAGATCGACACAGATCGTAAGATCGTATCTGTGCATATAAAATATTAAAATCACATGAACAATTTTTTTATCCCCCTATAATCTTAAGTAACATCTTGATCTTAACATAGTGAAGGTTTTCCCAAGGATCAGAATTTATGAATTTCATACCAAATTTATTAGAAGATAGAATGAAGGGATAATTGCATTCATGTGAGCTTATAGTGCTATCCATGTGGTGGAAATTAAAGCATAAAATTCTCATCCACTTCTTATTATTCAAAACGTGCATTCTTTATCTTTTCTTTGACTTAAAAAAAACATTTATTAAAGAGTAAGTAACGCATAGAAGAGAAAAGGTAAAGGCAGAAGAAGTGAAGCAAAAGAAAAAAAGAGAAGACGCAATCACTGTTACAAAAATAGAAATGGTTGATTAAGATTTAGGTTAAGGTCACCATTGCTATAACTCTGACAACGGTTTCTGTTGCCACGACCATTCAAGTTTCAACAGTTTTACATACACAACGTTATATAAAACACCGTCCCTTTTTGTTTCTGTGTTAATCAGCGATATTGTTTGAAGACGGTGACCACTCCCAAATCACTTTCCCTCTTTTCGCTCAACTTCTAGTTTCCAAGTAAGATTAGCACGTGCTTCATCCTTAATCTTCACCCTCTCCCTCTCACTCTTCTGTCAATCTCGGTTTCTTACCTTGAACCGGAACCATGGAATCATACTCTCCTACCGATTTTACAAGCTTAAACAACAATCTTGATAAATCAGAGAAGGAAAAGATCTTGCATATGTTTCAGATCGCAGGAATGGGAAAAATAGTAGCAGTTGATTTTATGAGTGATTATAATAACATTGGCCTGTACACAATTATAATACCAAGAACTACTTATATTTACCCTGTACACAATATCATTAACTTGGGGAAATGACACCCAAATAATCATTTGCATGCGAGATCTAAATAAAAACTACAAATAATAGCATCCTTAGCAAAAGATATAAAAGTAATGTCACACAGTTTCTGGGTCAAGCAAATGAAAAAAAAAAAAAAAAAAGTCATCATATTCACCTGTTTACTGTTCTTTTGATGCCTCCTATGTTTCAAACGGATTTGAAGCTTCCTATCAACAATTGCATCATCCTCTTCTTTGACCTGTCAAAAATAAGTGCAACAAAAAGTAATCAACTTCCTGAACACAGGCAAACATACTAACATGAAGTAGAAAATATATAGACTTGCACGACATTTATTAACATGGAATTCCTCCATATTTACTAATGTATCTTACCCTGGTTGGATACATGCTACTAACATGGAGTGTATGCTTATGCAAATCTGTCTGACTATGCATGATTATTCAGAAGGCCAAATGTCAAAAACTATAACCAATTTGAAAATTAAAAGGTAACTACAAAAATACGTGCCAATTTTGTAGCCATAGGCTCGCAGCCTACAGAAAATATTGAGAACATAGGGAAGACATGAAATAATGATAAGAATGGAAACTTTTTTTAGAAGACAAAATTAAGAAAGAAGAGAAATGCCTACTAAAAAAAAAGAAAGAAAGAATAGAAATAAAGAGAACAAGAATTAGTAGTCCTCCTAAAAAGTAGTATCATAAACACTTACCTAAAAAAAAAAAAGTTAAACAACACAAAAAAATTGATATAAAACTCAATAATTGTTCTTTCCAAATAGGTAGTATTCAAAAAAGAAACACTTTAGTTTCAGAAACACTAATAACCAATAAACAACATCTAAACCGTCATATAGGTCCTTGAAAACATACTCATTTATATCCCTGATGTATTTAATTATACAGTTTAGTTCTTAAATAATTCAAACTTACCATGAACCAACAATGCTATAAACTTAAGCTAGGATAAAGCACATAAATGATTTTATACTTTTTAGAACATTTCTAAGACACCCTTTCATGCAAAAAACCTTTGGGCTTAAAGCATAGACAATACATAGGCCCAAGTATCTTGTGCTAAAATTCAAATTTTTATTAGAAAAATGGGGATGATATGGATCAAACTCTAGATCACGTGGTCATAGATGCTCTGATGTCATGTCTTGAACCGAATTATCCAAAAAGTTTAAGCTATTGGATGAAAGCACATAATTGATTTTATACATTTTATAACAGCTCTAACAAAACTCATTTCATGTTATTCAGAAAAACTAAAAAGTCATAGCAAGAGGAGTAACATAAAACAAGTTTGCGTAATTTAAAGACTAATATGCCATTTTACTCTAAAAATAACTGATAATGGAATAATAACGGACCCTTTTAAATTGTCTCCTTTGCTCATCAGAAAGATCTAGTTCTCTTTCATTTGCAATGGCAGCAGCAATAAATGGATCACTAGAATTGCCATCAACATCATCAATCTCCTCCACCTAAAGAAAAGGAATTTCCGAAAAGAAAAAGTTAACATAGATAGTGAACATACATCACTTTTAGTAACTGTCAAGCAAAAGAACATGTTAAAGAAAACAGCCGGCATACATTAAAATATGCACATGACCAGAATCTGAGAATGCACTGAAAAGATCAAAATTCTAAAAGCTACAAAAATTAATCAACTTGCCACATCAAGAACAAAACCATACAAACAGGACTAAAGATAATTCAGGAAACCTCAAATAAGAATTTAACAATCATAGGATCTATGCACACCGTGCTAATGCCAAATTCTGTCGCAAATTAGCAAACCATAAACCAGCATTCAAGGCAGTAGCAAGGAAAGAAAAAAGTAACATGCTACATTCCACAATGTTAGGAAGGGCAACTCAGTAAAACCCAACAATTTAATATTACGAGGACACGTGAGAAGGAATGAATCACTGGTGCCATTTTTCATTGGATAAAAAATAACATCCCTAATATTACCTCAGCCAATTCCTGAATGATTCAAACCATCAAGAATCCAAAGTTCAGGGGGGCTCAAATTTAAGGAAAGGGAGAAAAGGGGAAGGATGAACAGAATAAACTAGTAACATCAGCTAGCTCCAATAATTATTCCTTCTTTTCCTTCCTTTAATACCTTTGATATTTGCATCCAATAAAAAAAGCAGTAAACACGGTTAAAAATTATATGTGCCACCTCATCAACTCCAGGAAATTTGAGTCCCATCAGGGCGGCTTGCTGTGGAGTGCTGGCTAAATAAACAGAAGCCCAATGCTTACTTCCAAATGAAGCATCAACGCCACTCCCATCAGAAACTATGTTATTGAACAGATCCCAATCACCATGGGTTTCTTTCTTCCCAGGCTCCTCAGTTTCATGAGAAAGCTTTTTTTGGAGAAAGCCACTAGCACCCTCTTCTAGTAATTTACCATGTCGCCTGAACCAACACCACAAATTTATATAAGATCATATTTGAATGTTGCCAGATCCAGTGCCATACAATAACCATACCTTCTAACAGGTCTGTTGACTTGTAGATACTTCTCAGCATCAGCAATTGACTCAGCAATTTCAGCAGTTGCCTGTGACCCAATCCAATGATTCCTCCTTTTCCATGCTTCAGTGCAACAACCATTGGGAGCTTCTCTTTCAATCCACTTATAAAGGCTTGGGAGCTCGATTCCAGCCCCATCAAGTTGTTCCTACTCAAAATCATATCAATGAACAGCAGAAGAAAAACATAAGCACATTTTAATAAAGGATAATCTATAACAACTCAAAACTGCCAATTCTTATCAACCAAGAAAAAATCCCAACAACTTGCAACATCAAGCGTTGTAAATATACAAGGAATAATTATATAATTATTGTACATTTGTTTTTCCGTTTTATTACACAGATTATTCATTACAGGTGTTGGAAAGCACTCTTATTTAGGGTAATACATCCCATATCTCCAATTATAATACTGTAATAGTTCAATACCTTGAATTCTTGATTCAGGTGACCATATAGTGGCAATCAGTCAATTTTATCTTCTCTCTCCGCACCTGGTTTTTCACATGTTGTAACCTAGTTGATGGTTCTAAAGTGTCTGCCCAAAGCATCGGTCATATTTCACCCATTGTGTCTACCTTTAAAATTTAAATTGATTTTCTTGAGTCACCTCACGAGAACCCTTAATATTGATTCTTTTTTCATCCAGGATCAAGGTACGGGACAGACAATTGGCATAGGGCATAAAATAGATGGACTTTACTATCTCAAGTCAACCCCTCATTCGGTGTGTGTTGATACTAGATCTCTCGTACTCCCCGCTAGTGTCTCGGTCATCCCAATCTAACAAATCTTTTATAAAGAACCATTTCAACCTAAAAGCTTAAATTGTTAAGTGAAGGCCACATTAATAGTTTTATATTATATTTCTCTAACACGCCCTCTCAAACGAAAGCCCATTAGGCTTGAAGGGTGGACAATGCACAGCCACATATACCTGTAGAAATCCGCAATATTTAATTATTTATTAATAAAATGAGGCGATGAGAATTGAAGTCGTGACTGCATCCGCTTGGTCATAGAGGCTCTTATACCATGTTGTTGAGATATATAGTCCCATATTGGTTGTATGTGCAACTAATGTGGAGTTTATAAGACCTTGGACACTCTCACCCTTTGAGCTAGCTTTTGGGGTGGTGTATCCCAAGGTTCTTTACATGGTATCAGAGCCTCGCCGCCCCCCACTTTCTCTTGTGGCGTTTCTTAGCACAGGTAGGCTGGGCCTGTTGCATTGTCCACTTTTCAAGCCCAATGGGCTCTTGTGTGAGGGGGCGTGTTGAGATATATAGTCTCGTATTGGTTGTATGTGCAACTAATGTGGAGTTTATAAGACCTTGGACACTCCCACCCTTTGAGCTAACTTTTGGGGTGGTGTATCCCAAGGTTCTTTTACACATGTAAAGAACAATTTCACCCCAAAAGCTTAAGCTCTTAGGTGAAGGCCACATTAATGATTTTATATTATATTTCTCTAACAACATCAACAAATAGTTCCAAATCTTGCAATATTAACATCTTTTAATTGTGAGTCGTGTCAACAAAGGAAGTATGTCCGGGCTTCCTTTCCTAGTCAGGTCAAGAATCAAACAAAGTCTAATTTTTCTATCATTAATTTTGATATATAGGGTATAAGTCATGACAACACCCTCTAGTCTTAAGTAGTTTGTTGCCTTTAATTATGACTTTTCATGGTGTGATGTACTTGGTTATTCTCAATTAAAGAAGGGTCTAAGTTATTTTCCATATTTATGTCTATCTATACTAAAATTCAAAATTAATTTGGCAAGTCAATTAAGATTTTACGCAGTAACAATGCCAAAGAATGTTTTTCCACTGACTTCTCATCATTTATGTCTTCACCACCACCCCCAAAACAAAATGGAGTGGATAAAAGAAAAAAGTGTAATATTATAAACTATTGGTGAGGCCCTTTCACATTCTGCCTTTACTAGGAAAGTGATTACTCGCATTAGTCTATATATTATAAACCTTTAACTTGAAAAATCAAACAATAATATTTGGCCGAGAAAGATGAGGGTCAAATGCATGATGCTCCCACCATTGTGGAGTCCAGGGAGGGTCAAATGCATGCAGCCCTAACCATGTGAATGGAGAGGCTATTTCCACGGCTAGAACTCATGACAACCAGGTCACAAGGCAGCAACACTCCATTGTGCTTAATAAAAAATTAACAATAAATAATCATGGTGGTGAATGAATTTCACCATGTATTATGTCAATTAATCTCAAAATTCAAAAATACAGAAGGCACAAAATGTTTGCATAAGGGACAGGGTGAGCTCAAAAGCACGGACTCCAACAAGTAACTAAACCACACCACACTGCTGAACCCTCCAAACTCTTGGGCTTACTCATACTTCCATTTAAACATGGTATTTATATGCACAATTACAAAGCAGAAGTACATAATCAAATCCCAAGCATTTCTAAAGCCCTTAAGCCATTGCCCACCCCCAGCCAAAATAAAAGGTGGATATGGCAGGTTTAAGATCACACCTCAACCTGTCACCAGTGGTCTGGATTGTTTTGCAAATTTAGAGACATTTTCTAATTAAGCCTGGTGTGAACTTGTTTTCAAGGGCTAGTTTTAAATATCACAGTCAAAAAGAAGTGAATGAAAAGACCCAAATCAGTATAATAAGCAGCACTGGGATACAAATAACAAGACCAGTTTCTAAAGACTGATAACAACCAGAACAGCAGAAAAAGACAAGCAATTCTTAAAGCAAGTTTAGTAAACCAAAATATTTACTGAAAATTGAAGATGGAATCAAACCAGTAAGTGGGCACTTTCAGTTTCAAGGCCATCCAGAACAGCTTCCCACTCTTCTTTAAGAGTAGTCATCTCATCAGCAACAGCACTTTCCAACTACAGACAAGTAAAAAGAAAAGTCATAAGTAAAATACAGAAAGATCAAAACACCAAGGGACACCAAAAAAAACTAACATCATCCCCCTGAAGAGTTTGCTTCAATTCTTGTCTAACTTCACTCTCCACTTTGGCAAGAGACTCCTCTTCAAGAGCTTCTTGGGCCTCTGCAGCCTAAACAAATATTAGAGAACCTCCATTTGCACCTTTTAATGCATATGGAAAATAAATATATATATGATTTATTCCAGGATTACATACCACATAAAACACTCTGCTAATATTTGAGTTATACACTTTTCTGAAAGCCAACTATTAGATTTTTCTCTTCTTAAAAAAAAAAAAAAAAAAAAAGAGAGAGGGTAAATCCCAGTAGAGATGAACAATGTACACAGTGATTAGGGGTCTATGGTAGGAGAAAAACGCCATAATTTACAGAATAAATCTTTACTTCTGAAGTCTGCACGTATATATTAATTTAGCATCCATATGGCATTCACCTGATCAAATCCTTATAGGGGCTTAGATATTAGTGAGCTTTGCTTAGTTTATGTGTCTTTCACCCGTAGTCAGGTATGTTGTTACGACCAGAATTGCTAATGGGGACAACCGGCAACTTGGAAAGTATATTACTGCAGGAATATGCCCAAGGCAGAAGTTAGTTCAGTTGAGGGCATTAATTAGGAGCCCAGGGTAGTTATCAGTTGTTAATAAGGCAGTTAAGTCATCAGAGAAGTAGGAGTGATGCCTAGATAGTGGATATAAGGGAGATAATCCTTATTGACAGACAGTTTTGGAGAATTAGTAGTAAAGGATTCCCTTGTAAGAGTTCATCTCTTGCATTCCTTCGTCACTCTTAATCAAAGAACCATTCTTTCCCATCTCATTCATTAATCTCTTAATCTTCCCCAACCCCATTTCTCTAATTCAATCAATTCTAGAATCCAGAGCCAAAACATACGCGTTTTTTGTTTCTTTTAAGAGGATGTCTATTCCTTTGCTTCTGTATTTCATTACTTTCCTTCTCTATATTTCTTGTTCGATAAATAAATAAATTACATATTCATATATATATATATGAATAATGGTGCTAGTGTGCTACTACATGTGTCAAGGCTTATAATGGAACATCAAGTTATTTTCCTATCACACACGGTAGGTCGACACCAAGGCTCTGCTTTGAGTCCTTTTCTTTTTGCTCTAGTAATGGATGAAACTAACAAAAGATATCCAAGATGAAGTGTCATGGTGCATGTTATTTGCAAATGAAACTGTGCTTATTGATGAGACAAAGGCTGATGTTAACAGAAAACTAGAATGGTGGATAAGCACAATGGAATCTAAAGTATTTACACTAAGTTGGAGCAAAACTGAGTATATGAAAGTGTGAGTTTGCTCCGGCAATATATGGAGATCAAGATTCCGTGCATTTGCTTGGACAAGAGGTACTCAAGAAAAATATTTTCAGCATCTGGGATCAATTTTGCCAAAAGGTTGAGAGATTGATGAAGATGTAAATCATAGAATCAAAGTAAGATGGATGAAATGACGTAGTACATCATAGTTTTTGGGTGACCACAAGATTTCTCTTAGGCTAAAAGGAAAGTTGTACAAAACAACAGTAAGGTCTTCAATGTTATAAGGAGCTATTTATTTTGGTCAACTCATAAGCAACATGAACATAAAACAGGTGTAGCGGAAATGAGGATATGTAGTCATACAAGAATGGATAAGATAAGAAATGAAGATATTCGACGAAAAATAAAAGTGGTACCAACGGTTTAAAATATGAGAGAACATAGATTGAGATGTTTTGGGCACATAATGCAAAGACACCTAGATGCTCCCGTAAGAATATTAGATTGGCTAGCTTCATGATCAATAACTGATTATTCTAATGATCTAATATAATCAACATAAACATAGTTGACTATAAATTCTAACATAAATGCTAATATTCTAACAAATACAAAAACGAATTCCAGATAAAAAAATTTACATATTTAGAAACAATAAACAACTCAACTAGATAATGTTCAAAGAGTGATTAATAAGTAACCGCTAAAGTGATAGTTGTTCCTAAACTAGAAATATTTAATTTTTTTCCTAAATTCCACAAAAAAAAAATTAAAAAAACTAAAAATGATTTCAATAAGTTGAAGCTAATATAAAATGAGAAAGAAACTATAGTAAAATTAAAATTGAACATTACGAGATGATACAATTACCCCAAAAGAGACAATGAAAAGCTTAAAAAGAATACACACGCATAAACGAGCAAACTGCGGTGCACATAGCTCCCCGACTTGCGAGAGTAGAGGTGAGGGTCAATTGTACACAACCTTACCCTTGCATTTTTGCAAAAAGACTATTTCTTAGACTCGAACCCGTGACCTTCCGGTCACAAGGAGCAACATTACCGCTGCTCCAAGGCTCACCCTCAATACACACACATACATGATTCAAAGAATTATATATCTAGCAGTATTGCATGTGTCTGTATGTGATGTAATCAATTATATTACCTTACTCTCCACTTCTAACAACTCAGAAATAAGGTCTTCTATTTCCTCCTCGGTCAAAGGTTCCTGCATGATACACATAAAAATCTGAAAATATAGCACCTTAAAGTTTACATGAGGAAAGAAAATATAGAAAGCTAGGTTTTTACATGAGTCTGCAGAATTTTATTACCAAAAAGTATATAAACAAAGAAAAAAGTAAGAAAGAAAACATCTATATGACTGACCTCAAGATGCATGCTGTCATCTATTTCAGGAGGCAGAGATCCTTCATCGTCTGAATCGTCATTGAAAGAACCACTAGAATCACTCTCAATATCTACCACTTCATCGTCAGTTTTTCCAGCCATCTCTAGTAAAAAAAAAACAAGAGGTCAAACAACATTCAACCTTCTAACATAATGACAAAGAGGCCAACTAAAATATGGAGAAAAGGTACAGCAATGGAAAATACTAGAACAACAAACAGTATCCAAAAATATTTTAAATAATGCTATCATGGTCAAGAATAATAGGTCCCCCCCCCCAAAAAAAAAAAAAAAAAATTATAAGTCAGATACATTAACCCAATATTTCACCTATTATCCTTGTTCTTTAAAAAAGACAAGATCGAAGACACAAATAATTGGCATATCCACAAACAACAGCGACACAATTAATCTTAGGGGGCATTTGGTAAAGGAGAAATTTTTTTTTTCGATTACCAGGAATATGATAGGAAAGTGAATTTCCCAAGAATGTTACCAAAAGTTGTTTGGTAGGTCAAAATATTCTCAGCAATATTAGTTCAATTCCTGACTGTATGTTTGGTTGATTATCAATTATTATTTATTGCTAGGAATATGGGCTGATTTTACAAAACTACCCTTTATAATTCTCAACCGACCCATCATTTTCTACTAGGTTCAGTACAAGATGAACATAAACACTCCTATCTCGAGCATTGGAGTTCAATCCAATTGACTTCACATCCCTAGCACTTCTTGCCCTTGAACTTGAGTATACTATTCCATCTTCAAAGTCCTCTCCCAATTCATTATACTCTTCCTCCATATCACTATCGTCGTCTTCTTCATCCTCATCAGTAAGATCACTATCCCAACAAAAGAGATAGTGGGTTGCTCCAGCTTGCCACAAGCATTTCGCTACAACAGCAATCAGGATTCAATTACGTTAGACAAATGCTTAAAAAATTCAGCAGAGGTAGTAGCAAACACTTAAGCATTGTGACCAACAATTTAAAAAAAAAAAATGTTTTCATGCTTTTTCCACGCAATGTCTCAGGAACGAAACAAAAGGGTGATGGAATTTCAAAAGAAAATGCAAGCTTTGGGAAGAGAAGATGAAGGGTGTCGCATGGTGTATTTTGCGCCTTTGTTCTCTGCGTTTGGAGGAACCAAAACAAGAACAAAAGCAAGCCATCTTTCCCTTTCAAAGTTCTGTCTCTTTCCCTATCAAAGCCTTGGTGATGGATTTGTTCTTCATGGCATCAAATCAAATGCATCTTTCCACAGAAACGTAGGGAGAGCCTCTCAGTTTGATGAAGCAGAGGAACATTGGCGTGAAGGGAATGTCCAAGGAACTTCAGATTTTGTGAACCACGCTAGGGCTTAGGATATTTTAGACATAATAAATTTGGAAAAATTTCCCACTGGGTGGGAATCCAAGAATACCACCCACTCGATCTTGTTGGGATTTTGCTCACAATTTTAAATCCTGGGAATCTTATTTTCCAAGGAAAATTTTCATAATCCTTATACCAAACGTGGGTAAATAGGATTCCCAATGTCAATTTCTCGGGATTCTAAAATTTATCCCTCTACCAAATGCCCCCTTAATGGATGTAAAGAATCAATTCAACCCAAAAGCTTAAACTATTGGGTGATGCTACATTAATGGTTTTATATCTCTGAACACGCCCCATCACACGAAAGCCCACTGGGCTTGAAGGGTGGACAATGCACAGGTCCACCTACCTGTGCGAAGAAAGAAATTCCACTAGAAAGAAAGTGGGGGCGGTAAGGATCGAACCCGGTACACCGAGGCTCTAATACCATGTAAAGAACCAATTCAACCCAAAAGCTTAAGCTATTGGGTGATGCTACGTTAATGGTTTTATATCTCTCAACAATGGAATCAGAACTTTCCTAAAAAGTGTGAGAAACTGAGAGAAATTATGAGAAAAGAGTATATAGAAAACTGAATGTTTTCTGAATTGTCTCAAAGTACAAACTGAATTGATTGATTGATTTGCACAGAAGTTCATGTACATCTATTGATAGTTACTTAACAGCTAACTGAATATAACTGCCAACTGAATCAGTTAGCTGTTATAACATCTTGAGGCTGTTGTAAAAGCCTAACAGAGTTCGTTTAGACTAGCTCTAACAACCTAACAGAACCATATCAGTGCTGAGTCATCAAAATTCAGAACAGTATGTGAATAATCCAAATACTACTCTAATATTGTCTCTTCAAACTCAGGTTGAGGGGTGCAATGAAAATTGATCCATCACACAGAGCTTATCACGAAGTTCACAAAACCTCAAGGTTGAAAGATGTCTTGTTAAGGCATTGGCAATCTGATGCTGAGCAGGGAACGGCAGGTTTTGTTAAAACATTTTAAAAATGAAAAGAATCAAATATTGCTAGATTAAGCATTCTTTTTTTTTTGTAATACATTGGGAATCAAATACAGCACCTACTACCCACCCCCCCTTACCACTAGGCAAGCCCTAGAGACTTTAGATTAAGCATTCTAGTGTTTAGCAACAAGGTTCAAGTTTATAAGCTTATTGGAATCCATCAAGCTCCCTCCCAATTTTATAAATTAGTAGGAGCAGCTTCTATCTTCTTCGTCCGAGATAGGAACCATAAATATGAATTCACTAGCATGGAAAATAATAAATAGCAGTGCCTTGGTTTTGAGAATCAATTTTAATGTTCTATGCTATACTCGATTATCCGCACAATTGACACAGCATTTTATAAAATCAGCAACAAAAATTAAAACAAAACAGAATCATATCAAATTTGAGTAAAAGTAGAGTCAAGTTGTCAAATAAGCAGTACACCAATAGCGCACAAGTTAAACATTGTTGAGATATATAAAACCACCCAACAGCTTAAGCTTTTGGGTTGAATGGTTCTTTACATGGTATCAGAGCCTCGTGTCCCAGGTTCGATTCTCGCCGCCCCCCACTTTCTTTCGAGTGGAATTTCTTTGTTCGCACAGGTAGGTGGGCCTGTGCATTGTCCACCCTTCAAGTCCAGTGAGCTCTCGTGTGAGGGGGAGTCAGTGAGCTCTCGTGTGAGGGGGCGTGTTGAGATATATAAAACCACCCAACAGCTTAAGCTTTTGGGTTGAATGGTTCTTTAGAAACATTAAGGAAGACCCTACAATAGATGAACTAGAGTAGAAGAAAGACCAGCAGGAAACCATCAATTTTATATTTTTTTCAAATTAATATAATGTGATCTGCACAACTATGCATTCAAAAAACACAAAATAATCCAAGTTTAATAGCAAATAGACAAATACATCAGATCTTAGGATAAATAGCAAGGCTACAAACCTATCGACTTCGTTTAGTTCACAAAATCATGAAATTAGACAGAAAAAGAAATATCAAACTGCAGAAAACACGATTTTTTCATGAAATGGATAAACTGCAAAGGCATAGGTTCAAATGCAGGAAGCAGCTTCTTTGCAAATACACAAGGATAAAGCTGCGTACAAGGATTGTCCTCGTCCCTACCCTCACTAGTTAGGGTTTAATGGGGAGTGGAGTTGTTTAGATATACTGCAGAGCCAAGAAATGATCCTATAATGTTGAAATAAAAATTTCTAAAAGCAAAGCATAGATGATTGAGCTCCACAGCGCTTTTTCATCAAAACTCACCAGTAAAGTCTAGGGCCTAGAATGAAAGGCTATCCATTAGTAAAAGAAAGCCAATAATTGGCAATTAATACATGCCAGAAATAGCAGTTTTACAGATCAGGAAGATGCCAATTGAACGGAAAAAAAAAATAAGAAATAAAAAAAGACAAGTGGCCAATAGTTTTGAGCTCAGGCATCCCTCATTTGCATGCCCTCTTAACTTTACTTAACCCCTTAACAACATCAATACTACAAAGCAAACCTGAAGCATTAGGTGAACGATAAAACTCATATAACTGAGTCTTTCACTATAATATGACCTACTTGATTTGATTTAATTCACCTGAATCAGTGAGTAGAGAGAAAAAACAAATTTCATTACAAATTTGTTGGTGTGTCAGACAGAGCTGTCCTATATCAAAATCACCTTGGTTTGGGAAATTTTCTCAATAAGCAATGCATAAAAAAAGCTTTATTTGTATCTACAATTTCACTCAGCGATTAAAAAATAACGGTGCTAATTTAGTCCCGTGGTTAACAGCAAATACTAATTAAACATGTTATGAACCATCCAAGGACAGGCAATTATTCAACATTGCAAACATTATTCATTTATATTCAAAAAAATGAAGTGGAACATCAAGCTAATCTCAATTGACAGAACCAACATTTCGAGCAATCAAGGCTGTAATTAAAAGCAAATATTCTTAATAAAGCTAGAAAAATTAACAGCAAGTTGAGTGTAACTAAGCGAACTACCTAATCGCTGGCCCAAGCAGAGGAAGGAAGGTAGGGATGTGTTTGTGGTAATGGCTTCTGGATCTTTAGGTTTGCATAGAAAATGAGGAAAATGACTTCGGAAGCAACCTCTTTGATTTGATTTGATCTTTCCTAAAAGGGCACAGAACAGGAAAAAGATTTAAATATCTGTTGCGTTGTGTTGTGCGTGTTTGCACGCGATTGTAGTTGGCGGAATTTGAAGAGGTTTCGAGACCCGGGGAATGAAAGGAGGGAGAGGGAGGCCAAATGATACCCAAAAAAAAAAAAATTATAATAATAATAATAACTGGTTAAGGTTTTAAAGTTTATTTTTTACTTATATATAAATAAAAATTTCTATATGTTTAAATTTAGGAAAAATATTTTCTCATGTTGTAGGAGAGTTATTTTTTTTTTTACTAGTGATTTTTCAATTTTTGTGCAATATTTTTTTTTTTTTTAATAGATATGGATCAAACGTCTACAACATGAATTAATATGTGTCTACACAGAAAAATCGAAACCCTTAACTTTATCTATAAACGCTGATAATAATAGTAATATTTTAAAAACTCTTGCCGTTTTCTTTCCATAAAATGAAATCAGATGCGACTGGATCCATTCACCGGATGTAGACTAAGTAATGTATATATATATATATATATATATATATATATATATATATATATATATATATATATATATATATATTATAATAATATGTATATATATATATACGTATATATATATGTATGTATATTTATATGAAACTAAGTAATCCTGATCGGGCATCTTAAATTAGTTTTAGATTAAATTTGGTATACCTAATCCATTAGGTGATCGTAGGATAATTTTATATTAATTTTATTAAATATAATCTTAATCCTTGGAAAATTTTAGGATGTTTATATATATTATATGTAACCCTTATGTATTTAAATTAAATTATTTTAACCTCCAGAAATTATTTGGATTAATTATTGGACTGTGGTTTTACTCTAATAGATGTGAATATTTGAATTATGATTTGGAAAATTATGATATGATTATTGGATTTGGGTTTTACTCTGGTTGATGTTGAATATGAAAATTATGATATTATTGGATTATGGATTTGAAAATTATGATGGATTTAGAAATTACGATATTCTTGAAAAATTGAATTTGGAAATTATAATCTTGATTAAATTGATGCGAAAATTACGAAAAATATTTAAGGAAATTTTTCAATTATAAGGATTGTGACAAGATTGAATTTTATTGATTTTGTGTGATTGTAATAAATAACAGTGGGAAGATAGCTTTTGGAATGGTACCTCTTGAAAGTGATGATCACAACCTTTAGACTTTATGTCTTCGATATTACATGATATGACAATGATGTTTTTCGTTCTTCCCAAAGTGGTATCTGGCAATAGAGTTTTCCAGGGTACTACTAGCAACTTTAGAAATAGGTGTGCACACTAGGATTTGATATTTTGATATGGCCAATTTTGATTATACGTGGCTGGCAACAGGGTTTCCTGGTTCACCGGATAAATTGGCAACAGGATTTTCCGGGTCTACTATGGTTCTCTTCTCACTAAATGAATCTAATAAAGATAATAATTGATTTAATCATAATTATATATATATATGATGAATATTGAAGTTGATATTTGATTCAATTATTATGTAATTATATATTTAATTTGATTACTATATTTGAGTTATTTAAATTGTGTTTTAATTAGGATTACCAGCTTTGCTGACTTTTGTGTTTGTGTTTGTTTGGCTGCGATGATCCTTCGGGGGAGCAGATTTTTAGTGATACAGGTTGTAAAATATGGGGCTAGCAGTGGGCAATGAGTATAATGTGTATGAAATTTCAAGCTAGATTTATGATTTAATAAATGTATTGGATATATTCATATTCTAAATTTTAATTTTAATTTTTTAAATATTTATGTTGAATATGTATTTTGGAATAAGATTATATTTTAGTTAGTCTTGCACTTGTCCCTGTTACAAGTGCAGCGGTAATATTTTCCAAATTTGATTTAGATTAGCTTCTGTGACATTTATTAGATTCAAATAAAATAATAAAATGTGAATTTTGACAAATTCTTTATTCAAAAAAAAAATTATTAGAAATTTGGAGGTGTTACACTAAATTTTGGGGATAACATTTTATTTAGAGGAGTATAATTATAACACCTTAAAAAAATTAAAAATAACAATAATATCTTTGAAAAAAAAAATTTGAAAAATAGCATATTTGTCCAAAGTAATCATGAAACTTTAGATTTTTATTGAAATAATAATTAGATTATTTAGATTTTTATAAAGTAATGATTAGATTCTTTAGAATTTTATATATAAAAATATCTTTGGCATCTTTGACCAATAATAAATCTTTGAAAATATATTCGTAGTATATTATATTAATTTTATTTCCAAAAGTCTGTATAAAGAACCTCCTCCCAAAAAAAAGTCATTTTACGGCATTTAGAAAGGAAGGGGTAGAGAGAGAAAGTGAGAGATAGAGAAAGGTAATATTGGAAGAGAACATCATTTTCCTAATTTCACTTTTCTTCATCTATTTCTAAAACTAGTATTTCTGAAGTTATTTATTTAAAAGTTGTAAAGGTGTCATTATTCTGACAAATTTAGTTTCTATCTTTTATTTTATCTTTTATCTTCTAAAACTTTTATTTTGTGAATTTGGTGAATTTATTCATATTAGTTATGAGATTGATCTTGAATCAAGATTATAGAACTAAGGAATTCATTTGGTACCAAATGAATATTAACATAATATAATATTGAACTTAATGATTCTAATGTGGATTGACCCACAAAGATTTGGGTTCAGATTGTAATATTGTAAGAGACGCCTTATTTGGCTTGAGCTCCGCCAGTCAGAACCTTTCACATGCCGAAACACCCACAAAGATTTTGACTTTAGTAGTTTCAGTTAAAAGTGACACATTGTTTTCTATGTTTGCTATTCATTTTTTATTTTCTTATTATAAATATGTTTTGAGAGAATGATATTTTCTGTTATTGCGGTTGGACTTATTATAGTTTGAAAATCTCAATATTAATGAGATTTATCTCACCTGTATTTATATTTATGCTAATCTTTCCAGAAAATAAGCATGCCTAGTATGTATATCCTTGGAGTATAATGAAGTGTTATCTTGATAGTGTAAAAATCTATTATGGGATACACTGAAGACACGATCACACATAAAAAGAATGTAATCACAGTAAACTATAAAGCAATATGCAAGGTAGTAAAAATTGCAGAAAATTAAACCCAAGCCCAGTATTATATATTGTATCTTTAAAGCAATTTTGCCCCCTCTATGGCTCGTGAGGTTAGTGGACAAATGCCTCCCATGATAGAACGAGTTACCTCTTTTTCGACGATGGCACTACCAGAAGAAACAACACCGGCGAACACAACGAACGCTGATCAATCGCAAACCAAGGCAGTATGGAAGGATTAATTTTGATAGAATTTTGCTAAGGAGTTAGGAAAACTTCTTATTTGGATCCACTGGAAATAGGTGCTTATAGGAGATGAAAGGTCACAAGCTAGAGAGTCATGACTATTCGGAAACGAAGAGGCACGACTGTTCGCAAGTGAAGAGATGCGTCTGTTCAGAAGCGAAAAGAATCTGTTCACAAGCGAAAAGACACGACTGTTCGAAATGAAAAGACACGACTCTTCCAACTTCTTATTCATAACCCATTTATACAACATCTTAAAGACTTCGAGGACCGTACGGAGTTCAGAGTATTTTTGTGTACCTATGGGGTGACTGTACTTTTTTGCCCTAATAGAGTATAAATGTTTTCTTTTAGTTTAGATGATGATGTAATGTAGTGTGTTACACATATACTATTGAACATAACTTATTATTTAATGTATAATGGAATTTTAAGGGTATTTTTTTTTTTTTTGAGGTTACAAGGAATTGAACACAACACCCTACACTACACACACTCTTAACACACACACCCCACACCACTAGGCTAACCCTAGTGGTGCAGGTATTTCTTTTATGACCTGCTTTAGAATCTCGTATTCTTTATTCTTTTATAATTTTTATCCGTTCAATTAGAATACGATTTAATAAATAATGTGATATCTTCTATGATTGCTAGTGATAGAGAATGTTACAGAAGAAAATAATTATTCTCTATAGCGTTACTCATAAATTTTTCTAGATATCAATATTTATAAAAGAAAATAATTTAATTTTTTTTCATATTAAACTAATATATTAATAATTTAAAATTATAAGACTAATTATTTATGAAGAATAAAAACTAGTATATTATTACAAAAAATTAAAAGATATAAATCACCATAATAAGATATATAAGGTTCGATATTAAAAAAAATTGTAACAACCAAAATCCAAATCAAATGGAGATATGGGATTAATTGTGTATTTAACTTAAATATTGACATCTTATTCCGTCATTTACTTGAGCAAGTTTTGCAAATATCAAAACATTTTTTTTTATACAAAATTTCATAGACTCCTTTTATCATTCTTATATTAAAGTTAACATCGGTTAAATTGATTTTTCTTGATTAAAGATTATCAATATTTTAATCTTTCAACGTAAAAAATTAATTTTTTTTCCCACTTCGATGCCATTTTCTATACAATAAGATCCACATTCAATTATTTAGATTCTCATTTCTTAAGTTGCTGATAGTTTTCCTTTGCGTTAAACCACACATTCATTTTGGGTTATTCTGGTTCAAGAAAGAATTAAATAAAAGCCATTCCTCTGTGGAATGGTTCCTTAGAATTGGGCATTGTTTATAAATGTTGCTAAAAGGAATAATGAATTCTTACAACTTCACAGAATAAACATATTTTTCATATGGTACGGCGAGGGAGAATTATGAATTATTTTCTCAATTTTTTATCGGCAAAATAAATCTTAACCTAATACTTAATTTTTTTGCTCAATGTGTAGTGTCATGTATTTTTTATTTTTTTTAAACAAAGGGAAATAAAAGAACTAAGTAGCATTACAAAGTCTACGGCTAGAGATGCCCATCAAATCTCTAAAAACAAGATCTCTACAAGCCAAAGGATTTTCCAAATAAATCTGCAAATCCCAAGTATCCAACAGACTCCCAATGCTTCCAATTTATACGAGTTCATATTATTCCTTCTTCTTTTTTGCCTATTTATTTAGAGTTTTATGAATCTTGACCTATATACG